GGGTGACTGTGGAAACTGTATAAAGATAGAGTCTTGAAGGGTTTAAGTCCCTTTTTCATTCACTAATAAATTACAATTGCGTGCTCTTACGCTTACAACTGCCAACTCGCATCAAACAAAAATAATAACCTGAAAGAAAGTAAGACAAGATTCTAACTATGAGGCTCTAAAATAACTAACTCACCGCGTTTTCAATACCGCTGCTAATTCACAGACTTGAAGCTCACTGGAACGATTACACTACTTCCCACCAAGCACATAGGCCGCAACGCGGGGTTCTTCAATTCTCGCTAACTACCTCCGCGCTCGCTAAGTAAGAAACACACGAACTCGTTTCCTCTCATTAAATCATCTACTTCCGCTGATATTTGAATCCTTGCGCGTTCTACTAAAATTACATATTCTGGCATTGGCATTCCAGGGGAAAGTAAGGCTTGACAGGAAAGATAGTTTAAACTTAAAATAAATGTTAGTTAAAATAAATATAAACCCTACAATCTATAATCCGGAAAAATTGATAATCCGAAATCGCCCGAGAGTCCAATGTCCCGACGAGTCCGGATTAACGACTTTTGACTGTATATGCCAAATTCAATTAACATTGAGGAGCTAAAGTTTTGAGACCTGTTGTTTTAAAAACTACTAGAGTGATTTTTACAAAACTTGGCAGTTTGGGATAATTTAAGGCATGGAAGTATGGAAAAAAATCGCTATGTTATGTAAGAAAAATTCCAATTTTGTGTCAAAATAACTATGTTAGAATAATGCTGTATATAAATCTAATATATATCCTAAGTCACACTTTTATGACACTAAAAACATGAGTTGAAACCGTGAGCTATAGAACTGTCTTTTTTTTTTTTTTTTTTTTTTTTTTTTTTGACTTGGTGAATATATTTTTAAAATGCAATTCTGTGACATGTAAATAGCATATATGCTTTCTTATTAAAGCAACTACCATGGTTAGTCACCAGAATCGATAAACTTAATTGCCAATTTGTAAGGTGTAACATTGTTAATTCCACCAAGTTAATTCTAAAAGGCTTATGTTCTGGCTGTGGTATGTTATGTTGATAAGTTATTAACTCTTCACTAAACACACTTTTCTGTGAGTTACATTTTTTAATTTGGTCAGGTGGATGAAAGTATCTCGCTGATAACTTTACTAATTGAAGGGGAATGTTTATAGATTAGTCTTTTAAAAAATGTCTGTAATATTAAATTTTCTTAAGATATTAAATTTGTACTTTAATGTGCTTCATACTTAATGAAATTTCTCACAGTGTACCTACTTTCCTAAAGAACAACACTGAAAGTGTCAAGTATTTCTGAGAATATAATTAATGACATTAATCATGTCTCAGCTATGCACTTTAAGGCAATCTCCTTCACATAACACTGAAATAATCTGGAGCCATAGGTATAAAGAAGCCATGGGCCTAAGTGAAGTTTTATTTTAGTTAATAATAATAAAACTTTTTAATAAAGTATAAAATGAGCATGAATCAAAAATTAATTTTTTTTTCGTTGTTGTTGTTAGATCTATTCATTATCTCATATTTGTCTTAAACTCAGAATTAATACTATACTAAGGTTATGTTTCAAAAATGATTTTAATATGTATAAATAATTTGTACTTTCTGATTATCCTGACCAATCAGTTGCAAACTCGTTGGCAACTCCGGAGAGCATATGTGAGCTCATTGGCACTTTCTCAGAGAAACTGGATTTTTTTTCCACAACAGGATGTCTCTTTGTGAGATTCACAATTAGCCAAGCTAATGTGCGAAAGGCAAGAGCCATTTTCAAAATGACAGCACTCTGAGCATTCCATAAAAGTGCAGTCTATCAGTAAAATTTAAAAGTGCAAGTAACTCAGTAATAAAATGCTTATTATTATTATTTGAGGTTTCTTTTGTAATGTTTTTTACTGTTATTCTGCTCCTGTGTATAATGATCTGTTTTTATTAAAAATCATCAGAGAATTGCACAAACATGGCATTTCACACAACCTTAGCATTGTGCATTGGCCAAAACAAACATGTTATGCATATATTTAGGTCACCACATAAATATCTTTTGGTGACAGAAGTATAAATATCTTTTGGTGACAGAAGTATTTTTTTTAAAGTGAAAATAGGTTGATGTGTACATGGGTACCGAGTATGTGCAATTCTTAAAAACGCGTCAAGCGGTGGGTGATTCTGCTCTGTACCCAAAATTCTATTCCAGACTTTTCGTCATGGGCAATTCCCAAATTGTTAAATGCATAGGATATTTGAAGAAGTTATTAAAATTTGGGTAGGATGCTGATAATCAAAAAGTACTGAAAAATGCTTGAATGCAAAATTGAATTTCATGTTGTTTTTGCACATGTCTTTTTTTTTTTTTTTTTTTTTACTTGTGAAATACGAAGTTTTATTTTTCTGCAGTTTGAATTATAAATTAAATTTTCTCAGTATAAAAACATGATAATGAATTATTTATCAATGAAAACTTAGAAATTAATTTGCTATGAAACTAGGTTTTGTTAGATGAAAAAGAGAAAGCAGTCCAAGATGTTGAAGTTAGGGGCCTTGTCAACTGGATTCCAGAGGTATCTGTTGAGGGTAATGTATTTAATTTATTTATTGTCTTACAAAGTTAGTATCTACATGTAATCAAATATTTTTAAAAAATTCTTTTTTCTAAAATTTATATGGTTAAATATTTTGTTATGAGTGTTTAACAAATTATAACTATTCTGGCAACCCTACTTATTGCATTAAATTAAGTATTGTTGCTTGTAAGTTATTATGGTTCTTATTTTAATGAATGTAATGGCTCTTGATAAACATAAAAGGAAAATTAATGAATTTTATTATATTTGTATTTTTCTTAATATTTAGATCCAAAGACATCCAAAAAACCGCCAACTTCTCCTCGACCTCAATCTGTATCTCCAAAGCCTCTTACCTTAGATTCAAATAAAGGATCTGATGCTAAGATCTTGCATACAGTCAATAAAAGAAAAGGAGTCCTTTCGCGACCTAAAAGTAGGTTGCGGTCAGCTTCTGCGGGAAGAAATCCTGAAAAAGATCTTAGAGCTAGGTATTGGACATTTCTATTTGAAAATTTGCATCGAGCTGTTGATGAAATTTATCAAACTTGTGAAATGGATGAAAGCATTGTGGAAAGCAAGGTATTGATATAATAATAATAATTAACATTACTATTTTCATTAAGTAATATAATATTAAGAGTTGTAGCACATCTGCATTATCAAATAAATTGCTTTTGTATTTTGTAGTGCTCTTATTTATTTTCTAATAATTTTATGTTCAGAGCACATATATATCAGGAAAAACTTGTGTCTTTGTTCTCCTATTTGTGAAAATGCTATTCATTCTGAGCTGTGTTATCTATAGTTTTTTTTTTTTTTTTTTTTTTTTTTGAGGAAAAAAGAGAGACTTTGCATCTGCAATCAGTTATATATTTCTGTACAGAATAATACAGGAAAGTTTTCCATTTATCATGTGATATGCAAGCACTTTCTTAAAAAGTATAAAACCTGATGAAGGGCTGGCTGCATGGGCATTTTCATGTTTTTCTCTATGCGTAACATGGATACGAGTTGATGTACCTTAGAAAGTTCTTCATGAAGGTATCTCTTATAACAATACAGCTTACCAAATATATTACTTAATATTCAGTTTTAGTTGTATGTTTCCTCATCCGTAGTATAGTATACTTTTATGACATGATATAATTTTACTACATGTTAACTGTTTACTAGTCTTTTTTAATTAATCCCCAAAATTTCTGTAAACAGTTTCTAATTATAAGAATGGTTTACAGATGGTAACATATTTATCATATGAAACATTTACTTAGCTCATGGTATTATTGCATTATAATAGTAAAATTTATTATTGAAAAAAATTTATTTCATTCTTAATTACTAATAAAAATAAATAAACTGAAATGAATGGGAGCACTAGGTGGGATTCATAAATTTACAAATACAGTAAAAGCTCAAATAACTGGAATATTTTCGAATTCTAGAAATTTTTTTTTTTATGTTAAATGAAGCAAAAAGATTTGTTAACTTCGTTATAAAGCATGGATAGGGTAGCAATTTGAGTTAAACAAAAACTGTCACCAATAGTGAATAAGCTTGACATAATGCTTTGGCTTTATGTAAACCCGATTAATTTTTTTATTATTCAGTTTAATTTTGTAAAAAAAAGATACAATTTAACTGTTTTTCAATTGCATTTTGAAGAAGTTATTAAAATTTGGGACTTGTCTTTAACGAAACAACAGGCAGTAGAGTATTTTCAAATTTACAAGATCCTGATATCCAGAAAAGTCCTACTTATATAAAAATGGATAAACACTGGCTGTGTTATGTGAAAAAGTATGACAAGTTATTTAAGTTTTTACTTCCTTGTGTGAAGTTAAAAGGAAGTATTGTAATCACGAAAAGTTTCAGGCAGCATATTTCAATGAAAATATCCATTTTGACCACTATCGAATGCAATTTAATGATGTTTTTGCTTGATATCTATACGTAAGGACAGAATAAAAGACTCTTTTCCTCCAAAAAAATTATAAAACTGCTTTAAAATGAATTCTGAAGAGAATTTTTCGTGGCATCTATACGAACATATGTACGTACATACCTATCTCAAATAACTCAAAAACGAGTAGCCTCAGAACGTTGAAATTTTGTTTATAGGACTGCTATAGCATGTAGATGTGCACCTCGTATTTTGGTTGCAATCGGCTGCACCAAACATATATAAATATATTTATATATATAACCATTCTGTTACCCGGCTCCGTGATCTCTTTCTTTAGTCTTATATGTTTGTAAATTGTACATTTTGTGCTTTAAAAATGATTGAATTATGTTGTTTTTATCTTCTGGTTAAGGTTTTTATGCCTTTAGTAAATCTCTATGCAGTATTTTTAGAATTATCAACAATTTTAAAGTTGTTTAAGTGTCGCTAAGCCTAATCCTTTTCTTGATGGCAGCCATTGTTTGTTTACATTTGAAGCAGCAGACTAGTGGATTTGTTGCCAATCTAGAAAAACGTAGCTTTGCAACAACAAAGATAACGCCTTCATTTATTATTGCGAATTAAATCATGCTTAATCCTTTCTGGAATTTTTTCGAGGAAATAAGTGTTTAAGATTTACTTCGTAATTTTTAATATAGATATTTTGAGTTTTTATGTATTTTTGCCTTCTCACGAAGTGAGAACTGAATTAATTGAATGAGAAATACTTAATCGTCTGTGAAAAACTGTTTCTTTTTTGTTTTGTTTACTTAATTTCTTTTATGCGACTTTCTAGCTTTATTATAGTATTTGAATAGAACATGTGGCAACGATTAGATAATTCTATTCTTTAAATTATATAAATTTTGTGCATTATGAGTTATAATATGAACGAAATATAATACTGTTAAGTGAATCTAGCGCCAGAGTGCCGCTATGGTAAACAAATATTAGAGTGAATTTTAAAGAATTCATTTATTCTATTGTGGTTTATGCGCTGTCGGCGAAGTAGATTTAATTCAATCCAATAAGTTTAAATGAAATGCAAGAAAAAATGTATATAATTTAATATTCCGTACAAGGAAGTCATGTGGTGTACACATCAGATTTTTTATATATTATATCTGTATCTTGTATATGTTGATTAACTAACTAGAGAGTGATTTGTTCCTTCAAACATCTGCAGGAATGACTGGAACAGATTTAACGAGATCTTCACCAATTTTCATGATTAATGGAATTCTATAAACGAATATGATGTTTTAGTTTGATGTTTATGTCTAAAATGCTTTTTTATCTTTTGAAATTTCACATAATTTAGGCATTTAACTTTCAATTTGAATAATCAAAGACTGGTGGGAGATAGAATATGCAAGTTCTCAAACCACATTCCTTTTTGAATGCCTTTCTCTCCGTCTGCATGACCGGTGATAGCAAAGCTATTTAGGCTTCAATAAATGTTTGACTTTCATTGGTTACTGATTTGAACACTGTCTTTCTTTGTGTATGAGACCTTGATCTTAGGGAAAAAAATATAATTGCTCTTTTTTTGTTGTTTGATAAATCCAAGATTTTCAAATCCAATTGCTGTAAAATACAGAAAACAAATGCACGAAAAAAAAGAAAGAAAAAAAGGAGTTTGAAAGAAATGATTTGCATTAGAGAAATTAATCAGCAAATAGTTTGTTCTTTAGATTGTGCTATTATTGGGTTTCGTTGTGTGTTTGGCCTCTTTCATAGGCACCAAAAAGTGCAGCAGGTGCTTAATGGAAAAGTAACTTTGCTTTTTTACTTAAAAAGAAGTTTACTGCTTCCATCATTTAAAATTTAATTTAATATTAACCATATAGATATGTACTCTCAATTTGTTTACTGTACAATTACTTTAATGTTATATTGAAAATATTGTTTTATTATATTCATGCTGTAAGGTAAGAAATATGTTATTCAGTTCTAGGGTATAAATTTAATTGCAAACAGTTCTTGTAATTTCCGCATCTCTCATTATATTTTACAAGTCATAGGAATTATTTAGATTTTTCCCATCATTGTTGATGGAATTATTAGTGAAAAAGCATTGGTGGTATTAATTGCAGCTTTGCACACATAAACTATCTGTCTGAGAGGATTAATTCTTTAAGGACTTCTTAAATTAATCTATCACATATTTGTTATATGCAGAGGAAATTTGAAAAATATTTATTTTATCATTCATTTCATCTGAAAAATATATTGTATATATTACTTATACCCACCAGTGATCAAGTGGTTAAGACTGCTGAATACTGGTAGTTTGACCTGGGTTCAAACCCTAGCAAAGGGTCTGGCTGCATATTTGGTTTTCATATTTTCCTCACTTGTAATATGAATACAAGCCAATTTCACTAAGAAAGTCCTTCAAAAAGGCATTTTTCTCCTTAGGCAGATAGCCCTGATCTGCTTTGCTATATTGAAATAACAGAATTTGACCTGTAGGTTCCTTAAAATATTAAGAAATTGTGACAATTTCAAGTTATTAAAAATCATCTCTATCATTCAGAATATGAATCTTGAATCTTTTAAAAAGATAAATAAAATTGATGGGAAAGTAGCAATTAATCATTTGAATGAGTAAAAGCATAAAAACCATTAACATTTAATGTTGTTTTCGCATTCTGTATGGTACATTATTTGTCTTTGGAATTGCATGATGAAGGTGACATCAGTTATGGAAGTGAACTGATGTTTTTTCATCTTGTGTACACTAATCAAATTTTTAGTCTGTTTAATATCCATTCAATAAACATTTTGCCTATGTTTATATCATAATTTAACTAATATCTGAAAAGTAATGCCAGTTTTCAAGTCATAATTCTTATTCATCATTGTGTTTTTCACCTCAGGTTTTCTGGTAAGCTAGGAAGCATCCACAACCATTTTTAACCATAGTACTTTATGTGTGTTTTGTGTTAGACGGAATGTAACTTAATTCTTCCTTAAATCTTAAGATTTAAGTCAAGCAGTTACACAAGGGCAAGAAATAGAAATCATATCCTCCGCTCATTATATTTAGATGAGCAGGTAACAAGAAATTCACTGTTTTATCATTAATCACATCTCTGAGCAAAGTTCAGTAGATTTGCTCTTTTAATTTCAAAGTAATTTTCCTGTAGTGTTTTTCTCTTTATCTGCATGATGGTTCCATTTCATTTCTAAATGATTAAATAATTTGTAAAGTTTGTAAATTCTTTATTACAAAATGAGGAGGGAAAATAACATACGATGCCAAAAACGTGAGTTTATGAACATCTTATTTTAAATGTATGAGTGCTGTACGAAAAAATTGGGAATAATGCATGTATTATTATTAGTTTTTACTCTTTTTTTTTTTTTATCATGGGCCACTAGTATATGCAGTTAATTCTTCCATTTTATCAGAGTATGTGCATGTATATATTGTATATTATATATGTGTGTGTGTTTGTGTAAGATAAAAAATGTATGAAATGAAATTCTAATCTCTTGGAATACATTAGCTATTAATTTAAAATATTTTGCTTTCTTACTTTCTTTAATGATACAAATATCATGTTGATGAATGAAAGCTCATGAAAACATAGACTAAAGTGAGTAATTATACAAATTTAGCTATTAAAGACTGTTTTATTTCTGGTTTTCATGAGCAGATCCAAAAACTCATGCAACTCTAAGTGTTAATTTGTATTAGTTTCGTAGATTCATTAGAATTGTTTTTCGAAGTTAAGAAAGTAAAGAAATCCACAGTGGCTTTACTGCGATTCAAACTCCAGACCCCCCTCCCCCCGAATATTCAATGAGCATACTTCCAGTAACACCACGAAGAAAATATCTTATATAAAACACTCCTTATTAAAGAGTGACTGGTGATTACTGAACCTAAGTGTCAAATCTTGGTGATGATGAATTATCACCTGCTACTTTTTAGTTTGGGTGTCACTGTAGAGTCACTGAAAATTTGCGTGATGCATATACTCACTTAAAACAAAAAGTCTTACGGAAATAAGTACTTCATCCTCCAACCAAAAAGCCTAGTGTGTATCAGTCAATCATTTGCTTACTTTGTTGTCAATCTGATTATTTTAAGCATGTATTACAAATTCTGGAGGTTCCTAGGATTGCATTAATTTTAGTATCTGATACAGTCAAAAGTCGTTAATCCGGACTCGTCGGGACTTCGGCGATTCCAGATTATCGATTTTTCCGGATTATAGATCATCAGTTTAAATCTGGTAAGATGGCATGCAGAAATTCTAAAATTAAAAATATGAAACCGTAATTTATGAAATAAAGAACAATTATAATCTAAAGGGTATCAAAATTCACAAAAAGAGAAAAAGCTTAATATATTTGTTTACTTTATTAAACATTTCTTTCAATGTAAGTTGTTTAAGTTGCTTTGTTTCATGTGATAATACTTTCTCTTTAATTCTATTAAACAGGCATAATTTCTTACAAAGTTTAGTTAAAAAGTTCCGCTGTTCAAGTCCTATAATTGCTGTGTCGAGAATACCGACTAATTTGTCAATCGAAATTTTTTCGTTTTCAATAAACTCTGTGTCACTTTCTTCACTATCGAAAGCGAATTATAATGACAAGGAATTTGATTTAAATCATATCAAAGACGGAGTACATCGAGATGAAATACTACATTTAGTAAGGAATTATAAGCCAAATAAAATAAAAACATCTGCCCTAAAGATAAGGATAGTGCTGACAGATCAACTTCCAATTCATTGCACGCCGCATCGTTTCCCTCTCCCTGCAGAGCAGCGTGAAATTGATAAACATATTTCGGAATGACTAGATAATCAAAGGATATGCCTTTATCCATATTTTGCAGCAATTCCACTTTCTGTTTAATGGACTTCGAAACATACTTTCGTTTGTAGATCCGTTACATATTAGTAAATATATATCGGAAATTCTATTTCACATAATCGAAAGTTCAAGCTTACTTTTATAAAATTGTTCTAACAGTCTGCAAAAGAATAATAAGCTGAATCCAATTCAAAGATTAAGGAACAATGCAATCTGCAACATTAACTGAATTAGATACTTTTAGCTTAGCTTATACCGTCCGTTATACATTAAACGCGCATGCGTAAACGTATTATGCGCATGCGCACACGCACAAGCATATTCGCAGCCATAAAGGTCGTACGCGTAAACGCATATGCTCATGTGTTAATGCGACGCATGCGCAGAAAGTTTGTAGCTTTGAGGACCAGATTATAGATCATTCCGGATTATGGGTGTCCGAATTAATGACTTTTGACTGTATATCGAGTTTTAACAAAAATTTCTGGCCACCGCAAATATCATCTGCGCAAACAGTTCATGTTGGCGTATTTAATCATATTTTCTACCATGCCACCTCTTTTTATACTGTATTTGCTCTAACAATTTTTTGGCATTTGAAAGAAAGACTTCCTTTAAAACACTGTGTTGTGAAATATGTAAAAAAAAATTGTGGTTATCATTAAGTACAAGGTTTATAAATGGAACTATCATGCTACCAGATTAGAACCATCATTTACTTCCAGTTCTGTAGCAAAAAAATCAGCTACAGAATGTCACTAAATCGTATGTATGGCTTTCGGTACTAATGTTGTATCATATGACACTGTGAAGGTTTAGTACCGAAAGTTCAAAAACAAGGACTAGGACATTAAAGAAGCAGAGTGCTTTGGCCGGCCTATGGATGTTGATGAGGCTGCCAACAAGAACTTGTGGAAGAAGATCAGTATGCAACCACTCGAGAGCTTGCATACTGATCACTGAATTAGACGTTAGTGCCATGTTCATTAGTCTCACTGTGCATTGCATAAACTTGACATGCAAGTTCAATTGCTGGCTACCACATGAGCTGACTCAGATATGGACAGATGTGCTCGGCCTGCACTAACCTGTCGAATATCAACGCAAGGATAAAATTCTGGGCTGGATCGTCACTTGTGATGAAAAGTGGATTTACTTCAACAACACAGGCCAAAAAAGGGGTTGGTTTGTATCCGATGAGCTCATTGACAACGTTGCGAAGTGCAATTTGACTACCGAAAAGATCATGCTTTGTATCTGGTGGGACTGCCTTGGTATTATCCACTAATTGTATCAGGAAAAAGGTAAAACCCTCAACAGTAAGTTTATCTTGATAGGCCGTGCTGATACCACTGTCAAGGAAAAGCGTTGAATTGAGTTCCTGCTCAAAAAGGTGATGCTCCATCAAGATGATAATGAAAGACCATATGTGTTGGCATTCACCAGCTAGACTCTGTACGGACTCGAATGGTATCTTTTGCCACACTCACCACATAGCCTCAATATCACTCTTTCAGACTTCTACCTTTTTTTCACACTTGCAGTTGCTGATGCTACCTTCCATTCTGCACAGGAGATCTGAAATAAGGTTTTTCTGTTTTTGGACTCGCAGCCACCAAGTTTCTGACCTGAAGGCTTTGAAGAGCTACCAAAATGTTGGCAGAAAATCATAGATTTGGTTGCTGATTACTACACACACTAAAGGTACTGCTTTTATGTCCCCCCCCCAACTTTATTAAGAATGTTTTTCGGTGGAAAACTTTTGTTACAACCAGATATGTGTGTGATTAAGTATTTTATTCAGATTGTTCAGAAACACAGATAAATATATATCTGTGTTGTTGCTGTATTTTCTGAAAATAACCATATGTTTTGGACTTATATTTACTTTCCAGTAGCAAGTTTCCTATTATCTATGCTATGATTATGTAATTTTTTTTTTTTTCTATTTTATCGTTATTTAATGCTAAAATGATGTATGACATAAATATGAATTAAATATTATTATTATTATGTATTTGTAAAGTTTAAATTAAATTTTACTTAGCATGTTGTTTCAATAAGTAACTTTTTTTCAGGAAGCTATTATGATGCTTGAAAATTATAGCAAAGATTTCCATGCTTTGATCCAGTACATCAATATCAATAAAAATTATGAGAAAACTGCTCCACCCAATAGGTAAATATAATATATAAATTAACAATTCAATGATATTAGATGATTCAATGATATTAGAAATAGCAGTAATAACAGAAATATACTGTTATTACTGCTATTTCTAATATCATTGAATTCATAATTTAATTGCACCAGCTACGACCATGATCACAAACATATACATGCCACTTAGACTGATTTATTTGTGAAATAGGGTAGCTGGGCATAAATCATGTAGTAGGGTTTGTTTCTGTTTCTCCTGCCCCCTCCTTATTTATTTTCACTGCGTTCAAAGCACGGAGTCGAAGAGCACAGACTGAAGGTGGCAGAAAATTACTTTTCAGGAATGTAAGATAATGTGCTGATCATCATTTCTAAATTAACTGTTGATTGTACCGTGTTTAATTTGTGCATTTGTTTATTTAGGTCAGGGGTAAAAATATGAGTGTTTTCAAAACTTAATTTTGGTGTATGTACATAATTTTATGGTAAAGTTTAATAAATAATTATTATTGTAAAATAATTGTTATTGTAATTACTTTATTGTATTTTATTATATAAGGTTCATTATTATATTGTCATTAAAATGAATTCAAATGTGATAATCATTATAATTGATGATGACTTAATGGTAATAATAATTATTATAATTATACTATAATTAATAATTATTATATTTCTTTATCTTTGAGCTAAAATGTATATACTCTCTATATACACAATAAAAAAAGAAATGTTTTAATAATTATATTTTATGATAACAAATGATTATTATAGTTATTAAATTAATTGCAATAATTATAATACATAACTGTTATATTTCTTTTTGATTTTTGTACTAAAATCCATATGCATTATTTAACATATTTGGAGGGGAAAATATATTTTAGAAAAAAGAAAGGAAACAGTTCTTTGTAAAAGATCTGAATATGGGCAAATGTCATGTTAAATCAACTATGATCAGAGGATATCCTGCTCAAATGAGGTGGAAACCTGTTGACCATTCTTTTTTAATGTACAAAAATACTACTTCTGCTAAAATATATAGTTCTGTTATTTTCAGTGATCTTATTTTTGAAAGTAAAGAATGAAATATGTGCTCTTTATGTGAATTTGATGCATTATAAAACACAATTTCTTTTACATTTTTGGTTTCTGGGGTCACAAATGAATGTGAACCATTGTATTTATTTCTGCGAGTCTGAAACAAAAACAACTGATGATCGGATCACTGGATGGATGGCATGGGACTTTGATTCCTTTGATAGTAAACTCCCTCTTAAAGTGAGTGAGCCCACCAGTGGCCGAGCGGTAAAAACGCTGATCACTGGTAGTTCGGTCTGAGGTTCCAATCCCATGAACGGGCTGGCTGCATGGACGTTTTCATGGTTTTTCCCATGTGTAACATGTATACGAGCCAGTTTCCCCTAGAAAGTCCTCACGAAGGCATCCCTCCCTCGGGCAAATAGCTCTCATGTGCTTTGCCATAATTGAATAATCCAATCCAATCCCTCTTAAAGGGAAGAGTAAATTCTAAAGTGATCCCCCTCACTCTGCTACATAAATTAACACCCCTTTGAAAGATTCTAAATGTTTTGGCAGAATGCCAGCTTAGCTTATGTTTGCCATGGTCAAACTAGAATTGCAAGCCATATGCACATTTTGTTATGTAATATGTATTTCTATGCAGTGCATGTTTCTCATCAATTTTAAATTGCTTCTTAATATAATCAACTCACTTTTTATTAAGAAATCAACAGAAAATGATGCTTTATCAAATGGTCAAAAATGAGATAGAAACTCTAGCAGGGTTCGCAGCGGTCCTTACAAGTGCTTATAAGTCCTTATATTTGAAAATAAAATATAAACTCCCTTATAGGTGCATACTTTTTCTTTAAAGCCCTTATTTTTTTGTTTTTAGCGCTTCTTTTTTTTTTCTTTTTTTCTTTTTCTTTTTTTTTTTTTTAATGAACGCGCATTTTTTCCCCGCACCAAAGCCGAAACTAAATAAACAACTTTAACTTCCTTATATGCAACGTCAGGTGGTGAATCATACTCCCGAAAATTGCTTTAACCTATGGTGCGTGCAAGAGTACAGACAGGTGCATGCCGTTCTATTGGTTAAAGAATTGCAAAAGTGGTAGAAAATTCCGGTACATTCGGTATTCTTTTCCTCCCACCCAAATACTACACACGTTTGAATTTCTATCAAGATTTTAATAATTTGCATTCTCGTTCCGCGTGGTCAGTTCATATTCGTGTTTATTATGATCGTTATGCTTATATTATGAGCATATGCATGAATATTTATAATAATATAGTTGCAGTAACTGCTGAAGTGTAGATAAACTTTCAAAAATGGGGTGTTTTTACACAGATTAGCTTTCTAAGGAATAATATTCGGAATGGCTTACATAAAAGGAAAGTAGTCGAATAGTCAAAATAAAATCTCTTTTTATTTATTTATTTATTCCCCCCCCCCAATACATTATACAGTGCGGAGGTTGGAAGGTTCTTCCCTTTCTGCGCAAAATCTCTAATATTGAAGCAGCAGACTTTTTTTTTTTTTTTTTGTCGCTGTCCAATCTGGATTGAATAGGACTAAAAGTTTTTGCGGTGTACCTAACACAAGCGAAGATTGATTCTATTCCGGAACTTTAACGCTGTCTGTTGAAAATTAGAATCAGAAAATACCCCAGATTAGTAAGTCTCTTTCTTTTCCTTTATTTAGTTCTTTATTCTCAGAATACCGGCAGCTGTTGATTACGATTGCGTAATATCACATGTGGAAGAATTACGACGCTAGTATTGCGCAATAATGTTTGCGGTATTTTGCAGAGGTAATTAATTTTTATGTTCAGTTTGAGATTTGTTTATGAACACTTAAAAGAGTTTTACTGTGCTTTCTAAGCAGAATATTTCTGAGTTTCGTTGGTCTATTTTTATATGATGCACATATTGAAATGTCAAATTCATTTATTTAGCCGAGAAATCTAAAGAACGGCTACATCTCCCCCACTCCTCTTTTTCCACTTAATATCCAGAATATTCAGCAATTTCCGAGTATGCGGCTTAGTTAAGCTTTTACTGTTAAAGGATCACTGCATGAAACAATTTCCCGTCTTCTGATTTCAGAAATGTGCCTCTTTTTTACTTAAATTACTTTGCTTGGAATATATGTTAAGGGAAAACTGTTATGCAATGAAAATTTAGAAAATGTTCAGAATTTTGATTCAAGTCAAATTATTTAAATATTAATATGAGTGGAAAAATAAATTGTATTTATTATTACTTGCCAAACGAATACAATTAATATGGCTTATTATTATTTATTTTCTATATTTTGAACTGAAGTTTAAATCTTGTAATAAAGTTTAGTTCCGCATAGTTTTTTTTTTCTCTCATTGTAAACTAATTCTGTAAATTGAACTGACATTTAAAATTAAAAAAAAAAAAAAAAAATTAATTGTTTTTCCATGGTTGAGGTAATGCTCATTCTCTTAATAAATATTGCATTTCTCATATTTTAAATTACAAGTCTAATTTTTCTTTTAAGGTTTTGCAGTTGTGTGTAATGTAATTAGACAGGTGCTTATTTTTTCCTTAAAATGTGCTTGAAAAGTGCTTATAGGTGCTTATTTTTTAACTAAAATGTGGCTACGAACCCTGTCTAGGTTGACACATCAAAGCCACATTTAAACAAAGAGTAAAATTAAAATTACTGGAACTTTCACAGATGACCCATCTGCTTCATCAACTGATTCTAGATCTAGCTGATGAAACAAACAGGTCATCTGCAAAAGCTCTGGTCATTTTAATTTTATTCTGTTTGCTTAAATGTGGTTCTGCAGTGTCAACTTAGAGTTTTTATCTCATTTTTAGCTTTAGTTTAACCATGTGTACCAGTTAATTTTTAAGTATCAAATGATTATTTTGATACTTAAACAATAATACTTTTGATACTTACTTTGTTGTGGGCAGATCAATAATAAATGATTGATCAATATGCTATTCTATTAAAGCTTTAAAGAACCAGGATATCAAATTATTTTATTTATGTGCTTAGAGATAGTTTAAATAAATAATTAAAATTTTATAAACTAAAGCATGCATGGATTCAGTTGTTGATTAACGCTAGTAGTCAATTCACATGGGACAAGGATGATTTATTATGAATCTTCTGCATATCTTTAAATTCTAAGAAGGATAAAGTTTCATTATTGTACAGAAACCATTTAAGTTTACTGCCATGTATGCATATAAATAATTTTCATACTATTACAATATCACACTAGTAAATTAGTGCAATATCACCTAATTTCACTGTATAAAGAATCATTCTTTTATATATTTTCCTGTCAGTAAAGAACTTAGTGTGATGATGATCAGCTGAGAGTAATTATGCATTAAATCTGCTTCCTTCAGCAGAGGGCGAAAATGTTAAAAAACTTGCATTTTTGTAATCTCAAAGTCAGTATAATGCACTTTTAGTCAGCTGGCTGCTCATTATATTGAAAGACAAACTGAGTATGTCTAAAGGAAGATCAGTGAAGACTTTCGTGCGAGTCTTAATATAGAATTGGATTGTTAATTTGAGGATCATACAAATGCAAGTTGACCGTGTTTGCAGTAAATGGATCTCTCATTTTTAATGTTTCCCTTTATTATTGCATGTATAAATTAGTTATGAAGATCATTTGTGTTATATCAGATCAACCCTAAGTAACCTACTGGATAAATGTATAAACTACATCATTGATGATTTTGAATAAGTAAAGCTTTATTTAGCTATGCACATTATTATTGTTTAAAAAATATTTCAATGATATTTGACATATCTGTTTTAGACCAACTTCATTAGCATGGGAAGTGCGGAAATCTTCTCCAGGAAAATCTCTGTTAAAAAATGTGTTCATTGAAAAACTCACTGCAGGGAGTCAAGCTAAGAGAGTTCTTTGTTTTGATACTGCCAAGTGAGTATTTTCAGTTCACTTGCTGAAGAATTATTTCCATGTATTACAGTAAAACATAAATTTTGCAGTTGGTAATTTTTTTCTTAACTGTAATACTTTTCCCTAAATAAAGAATTAATTTTCTTTTACATTTCATTATTTGGATGATTCTGTACTAACAACAAAATGCTCAACTTTACATTTACCAAAGGGTTATAAAGCATTAATCAGAGAAATTATTTTTATTGCAAATGAACATACACCTAAAAGTTTTTTAGTGTTTATTTTTTCCCCTTTCGTCTTCAGAAATAGTATATTGTATGAAAAAATAAAAATATTTGAAAACTATTTCAGACTTCTAATATGAAAATACATTATATGCATGAAAAATCGGGTGTTAAACTTGATAGTTGTTTTTCTAATCCTTATCTATTTTAACCCCTATTTATTTAAACATAATGTTTAATTTCTTAACATAAATTATTTTTTCAGTGAACCTAAGCAACTGCCTGCTTGTGAAGCTGACAACATTTCACAGATTTGCTCTAATAATCCTGTCCAGCAGACACCTGTACTTAAACTTGGAGAAACATGTCTCTCAAACACAGAAACTGATGAATTACTAGATCCTATGAAAACGAATGAAATAGTAATAGAAAATAATAGTGATGTTAGTATAGCTGTGCAACCTGTTTCTGTAGATACTGTTTTCCCATGCAATCAAAATTTGATCATTAATGAAGTATGCTGTCTATCAGATACTTCTACTGTATTAAAACCAAGCACAATAATTGAAAATGAGAGTGAAAGTTTATATGACAATAAGGGTAATATATTAAATACTGCTGATTGTGTGGATAAGAAAACAGAAACAAATATTCCTCAGTTGATTGAAATTGACAATATCAATAAAGAGAAACCTATTGCTAATGATACACAGAAGTCTATAGATACTTCTGTTATTAATGGTATGCAGAATTCAATAGTTACTTCAGTTATTGATAATATTCAGAATTCTACCGGTGATTTTGTTGTTAATGGAGTGCAGGAATCTGTAAATCATGTTAACTGTAATTCTGAATATGGTGAAGAAGATTCAACATGTAAGGATACATTTGAAGTTGCTAATTGTGTAGATGTTTCTCTTAAGTGTCCAGCTGAAAATAATAGTAAAAGTTCAAAATTACAGGGCAGGCTAAAAAATTCTTCACAAAATTCTATGTCCACGAAGGTGCCTTTGGGATCAGCAGCTGAAAAAAGTAAAAGTAATTTAAAAATAAAAACGTCTTTGAAAAAGACCGCAAGTGAGAAAATCACATCAGCTGTATTTGGTTCTAAGCAAAGCTCTGTAAATTCATCTGATCGAAAACTTAATGCTGTTTCTAAAAATATTACATCTTGTGATGTGAATGTTAAAGACAGATTAATTAAAGAGCAAGCTGCCCCTAAAATTAAAGAAGTTCCAACAAAAAAGGAAATTTATTCTGGTGCAGATTCCTGTAAAAATTTAGCAAATGCAAATTTGAAAAAAATACATTCTAAAACCAAACCAAGTGTAGTTAAAATGGCAGTTAATAATAATAGTCAGAATTTGGAGAAATCTTCAAATGATAATCTGGATACAAAGCCAGCAAATGAGAAACCAAGCATAAATAAAAAAGAAGCTGCAAAATCAATTAGTTCTGCAGAAAGTAAAAAAATTAAATCTAATTATGAATCTGCTATAAGAAGGAATATTTCTTTGGTATCTTCTCTTAGTTCAAAAAATCAACTTGGAAAAACAAATACTAGTGCAAAACAAACACCAACACGTATGGTATCGCATGCCATCAAATTACCCCAGAAAAGTGGATCTACAACTTCGCTTCATAAAATATCTAGTAAGAGAAGTTGGACTGATAAATCTTCCAGTGTTGAGCAAATTTCAGAGATCACAAAATCAGCTCCTGATGGTAAATATATGTTTTTCTATTAACATTAATTGTGAGTGAAAAATGCTTTTCAATGAGTCTTTTGTGTTTTCATGATTTAGTTAACTTATCATCGGCATTCCTTACCTTGTTTTGCATATTTTGCTTTACTACTGATAATCTTAATAAATACAAAAACAACTTTTAGATGACAGTGAAAAAGGGCAAGCTTTCGTAGGTTGAGATTGATATAATAAATCAATACTTTTTATATCTGATTATCTGCTTTCCCATTGAAATATCACAAAATTGTGTTCATGACATCCTGCAAATGAATATGAAAAAGTCTTCATATGCAGCATGTTACCAGAATATTTATACGATATCACATTTCTGTTTCCGTGGATTTTTTGCTTTTCAGTCATAATTTTCCTGAGTAGTTCCCTCCAATAAGTATATTTATTTTTCTTGTAATGAATCATAATGGAGCTGTGCAGTTTGCCTGCTGGTGAGAACGAAAGCATTGCTCTTCTGTAGGAATATGATGTTTTGCCCAATAATAGAGAATGCAGAAATTGCATTCTATTAAGTTGTACACTTTGCATAAAAAAAAAAAGGGGGGGACAGTTCTATGAACTGATTATCGAAATTTAACTTGCGCTTTCCATGTCTTGAAAGCTCGACTTAGTATATATATTAGATTTATATATAACATTGTTCTAACATACTTATTTTGATACAAAAGCGAATTTTTTCTGAAATAACATACCAAATTTTTCCCATATTTCAATTCTACAACTCAATGCCTAGCTATTATGACTAGATATTAAATTTTGTATTTTGCCTAGCTATTAAATTTTGTACTTTTTGGTGAGAAATTTAAAAATTTATCTTGGTGCATTTTTTCCAGTTTGTGCCAAGATTAATTCACTTGGTTGAACTTATTAATTTATAGTAACCTATTTTCCTTTCCTTTTTTCATTGTACGTGGAGTGGAAAAAAGATCATTGTTCATATATTTAAATAATTTTTAACAAAATCCATAGACCACATTTGGCTTATTATCGCTTATAATAAATATGCCAAATTTCAAAACATGCCAATATGTAAATTCACATATATCTTAGGAAATTTCAAATAAAAAAAAAAACTCCAATTTTTTGTAGTTATGCTTGGAAATACATCTATATACTTTAAGATGATGGTAAAAATTTTATACAGTACAAAGTCTTTAATCCGGACGTCCATAATCCAGAATGATCTATAATCTGGACCTCAAAGCTACAAACTTTCTGCACTTGCATAGCGTTTACGCGTGCGCATAATACATTTACGCATGCTCGTTTAATGTATAACGGATGGTATAAACTAGGCTAAAATTATCTAATTATCTATTTTAGTTAATGTTGCAGATTGCGTTGTCCCTTAATCTTCTAATTGGATCCTGCTTGTTATTTTTGGCAGACTGTTAGGGCAATTTTATTAAAAGTAAGCTTGAACTTTCGATTATGTCAAAAAGAGTGTCGGATTCTGGAGCTGCCAAAGGATCTACAAAGCGAAAGCATGTTTTGATGTCCATCAAACAAAAAGTGGAATTGCTGTAAAAAATGGATAAAGGCATGAAGAAAGTGACAGAGAGGTTAGTGAAAATGAAAAATTTCGATTGACAAGCTAGTCGGTATTTTCGGCACAGCAATTACAGGACTTGAACTTTGTAACTGTACAAGAAATTATGTCTGTTTATAGAATTAAAGAGAATGTATTATCACATAAAAAATGAAGCAACTTAAACAACTTACATTGAAAGAAATGTTTAATAAAGTAAACAAATAAATATTAAGCTTTTTTTTTTTTTTTTATATATACTCTTTAGATCATAATTGTTCTTTATTTCATAAATTACGGTTTCATATTTTTAATTTTAGAATTTCTGCATGCCATCTTGCCAGATTTAAATTGATGATCTATAATCAGGAAAAACCCTAATCCAGAATCCCCGAAGTTCCGATGAGTCCGGATTAAAGACTTTGTACTGTAGTTTATAATTCAAAATGTTTTTCAAAGAATTTATAACAATTATTAAAAATACAAATTTTTAAAATAAATCATAAAAATGGCTGAAGTTTATTTGGAATGAACCTAAATTTCAAAATGTGAAAGGAAGAATCAAATAAGTTTAATAAAAAAGAGATATTAATAAATATATACCAAATTCAATGTTATTTCAGAAAGAGTCTGATTTTGTGTCAAAGTACCTATGTTAAAACAATGTTATGGTATATAAATCTAATATATATCTTAAGTAGCGCTTCTGAGACATGGAAAACACAAGTTAAGTTTTGGCAATCGGTCAAAGAGGATGGGAGATATAGAACTGCCCCCCTTTTTTGTGTAAGGTGTACTTCTTATGAATTTTATGGGCATACTATGTGGAAAGATTGTGAGTAGGCTGGCAGAATATAGGCCAAAAGTTGATTTAAAAATAGCTTATCTCATATAGAACAGCTGTTCACTTTATTTATTGTTGAGTGGTGTACACCAAAGTAGTGCGTAATTCAGAGTTTATGCAATTTATTTGAAGTAAATGTAGAATGCTGGGTTCATGGGAGAGCAGTAGCTCAAAAAAATTATAGAAGGATTTCTGGAGAAAAGTAAGAATTTTATTACTGATCTTTCTTGCTTTATTTTATTTTATTGATTGATCTTTTATGGAAATGGCTTTGTCTTTCCTATCTTTTATGGAAATGGCTTTTGTCTTACCTAGCTTGGCAAAGAATCAGTGGAAAATGAGTTCCTGAATGCTTTCCAAAGACGTCGGTGAATTTGTGACTTTTCAGTAGGGATACAAAAATTCAGAAAGTACCAATAAATCTTAAAAAAAGTGATATCCTGACTAGATATAAGCAGCTGTACCGTCAGAAGGTTACATTGATAATAGTATAGTGTCTGAAATAAAAATCCATGGAATTTTGATGAATTGAACTTAATGCAGTATTTTTCATAAAATAAAAAAAAATTCTAAGTAAAGTATTTATAGAGGGGAAAATTATGTTTATGCGTCCCACTATAGGAATTAAATAGATATGAAATATAAAACATAGTGAAGATTTTATTTTAAAGTGTTTGATTTATTTGCATCACAAAACGTATTCTCTGCGTGTAATGTTTTGAGATTAAGTATTTTCTGTAAATTCCTTATTCTGAGACATGAGTATTCATTTTTCCTAATATTGTTTGTGGTTAGTTTTAAAGCCTCATTTAATGTCACTGTGTAGAGACATTAGGTAATTTTTCGAAGGAGGAGTCATGAAAAATGAGCAGCGCCTTTGCCAGGAATTGAACCACGGACCTCCGAATTATGCGCTCAGCCTGCTGACCACTATGCTACAAAGGCATGCTAAGAAGGTGGGAGAAATACTCCCCCTTTTAAAGGACGACTGGGGTTATTTTTAGGGGACCCAATAGCCAAATCCTGGGTGTGGAGAATCATCATCCGCCTCCCTTTTAGTTTGGGAGCCAATGTAGAGACATTAGGTATTTTTTGGAAGCAGGAGTCATGAAAAATGAGCAACGCCTTCGCCGGGAATGGAACCCCGGACCTCCGGAATATGTGCCCAGCGTGCAGCCCACTGCACTACAAAGGCATGCTAAGACGGGAGAAATACCTTTTATATACCTTATATGCTCCCCCTTTTAAAAGATAGATGGATTTTTTTTTTTTTTTTTTTTTTTTTTTTTTTTTTTTTTTTTTTTTTTTAGGGGACCCAATCACCAAAACCTGAGTGTGGAGAATCATAATCCACCTCGCTATTAGTTTGGGCGCCACTGTAGAGACATTAGGTATTTTTTTGAAGTAGGAGTCATGAAAAATGAGCAATGCCTTTGCCGGGAATAGAACCACAGACCTCTAGAAAATGTGCCCAGCGTGCAGACCACTACACTTCAAAGGCAGGAGAAATACCTTATATAAATCCCCTTTTAAAAGACAACTGGTTTTTTTTTTTTTTTTTTTTTTTGGGGGGGGGGGAACCAATCGCCAAATCCTGGGTGTGGAGAATCATCTTCCACCACCCTTTTAGTTCGGGCACCGCTGCAGAGACATTAGGTATTTTTTGGAAGCAGGATGCCTATTCTATGATCACTGGATCTGTCTACAACTTGAGCCGACAATATTGGCTCAAAAAAACCGGTATGGACAGCCATCACAACTTATCAGAGAAAGCCATTCTGTGGTCCTCAGTTGGTGGGCGGGTGGGTCCATTTAACTTTACTGAAAGGGGACAAGGCTTCAAGGAACTTTAGACCAATCGTAGTACAGGCAAAGAATATGTACAGGCGAGTGACGAAATTTATAGCACGCACTGGCTGAAGTTCTAGGAATATTCTCCCATTATTTCACTAACTCGCATCCCTTACAAATTCTTTGCTCACACGCTGCATTTGTAGTTCTAAAAAAAATTGCACAAAACAGTATTATGACCAACACGCAGTAGAATATGCTGCTGTGTTATGTGAAAGAAAATCCCGTTTTTTAATGGGAAAGTTAACGCAGCAATTTAGAGCTAAGAAATAAAGAGTGATATGGGATACCATGAAAGCAATGGTAAATAGATAAATGAATTAAGCTTACTTCAAATCCTTTTAGAAAAAACAATTTTAATCATTTAAATTTATAATATGATTAATTTGCATTACTATCTAATAGCAAACTAAGTTTTTTTTTTTTCCCCCATGCTTACATTAAAACTGTTTTCTCGCAATTTATTTTACAGTTACTATTGGAAAAATATTTCTTTAAATAAGAAATTAGAAAGAAAATATTTCTTTTATAATATTTCTTCCTTTTTTTATTTTCTTTTTCTATGAAAATTATTTCTTTCAGTAAAAGAAATAAAATTCATTCGCTATTACAGTATGGCCGATTGCTGCTGCATTCAATTATCACATACGCATCAAAATGCTTTATTTTAAATAATTTATTCTATAATTAACATGAAAGAAAATATTTTTTCAATATAAAATATATAACCAAAATTAAACTAATCTATGCTGTATGTGTGATTAATTCGTTTTGCAGTTTTTGTCACACAATTACTAATACCGTTTTTTCGATATTACATTGCTGTTATTTTAATTTTGTATATATATAACAACTGCTCAGTTTAAATATTCTTCCTTCTCAAAAGATTTTGTTCTGTGAAAATAATTAAAAGATAGTAATATTTTCACAATGGAAGTACTAAAGTAAAAATAATCAGTGTAGGTCTCCTGCAGTTGAAGTCCCTGTCAAACCAGTGTTTCGACACATTTTAAATAGAAAACTAATAATAATCAATATCTCTTTTACAATATAAAATTGAGAATGCTATGAACAGTATTTTTTTTTTTTTTTTTAAAGTTTGCAAAGAAACAATGATTTTTTAACACTATAATAGGTTACAAAAGTACTATTCCATGAACAAACCCTCAGTCTTATAGCATAATACTACAATAATACAGTATAATTCTGCTAACAAGCCCACCAGCCGCTGAGCGGTAGAGTCGATGAACACAGGTAGTTTGGTCCAAGGTTCAAATCCTGCGAATGAGCTGGCCGGCGTTTTCATGGCTTTCCCCACGTGTAACTTGTATAGGAGCCAGTTTCCCTTAGAAAGTCCTCACTTAGAAACCACTTTTAAAACGTAATAAAATTACACACAAAAAAGGGGGGGGAAGAAAAGAAAAAAGAAAATCTGAAAGCCTTCAGATTTTATAGTACTCCCAAAGGGCCATATTTTTAACGTTTTGCGTGTTACCTTTATTTATTAAATATGTTTTTTGCACTTAAACTATAAAATTCAATTCAACAGCAATATCATATAATTTAAAAAAAGCATATCTTTAGAATTTCCGATACATAGTCTCGCGCGCTAGAGATGAAAATGTTTTTTCCGTACAATGTTGCCATGGCTCACTTTGAAATCACTGGGTTTCTTAATCAAAAACTCATAAATGCTTTACAAAATATGATATATGAAATGGATAATAATACAAATTCCCAGTTCCATATTTGGGCCTCCAGATGCCTATATTAGGATGGAGGATTACGTTATTCAGAATTTCATGGCTCTAAGTACCGTTGTTTTATCACAGTGCGAGAAACATTCATACATTCTGAAGATTCCTCATTATTTAATTTCTTTAAATATAATAGAGTGCGACAATACTTGGTGGCAACGATTTGAAAAGTGAAACGCCATTTATTGTGAAACGAAATTAATAGCCCCTCTGAGCTAAAACTTATTTTTAAAAATATCACACTAGTAGTAGTGCAACTACTGAAAAAAATATTATAAAGCTATTTTATAGTTTTATATATAATAATAATAATAATAATTATTATTATTATTTATTTTTTATTTTACAGTAGTGTGAATTTTGCGTAATAATGAACGACATTTTTGTGTTCACAGTATTATTTGTAAGGTATTCAACTGTTAGATTTTAAAGTAAACCTAATTCTTGCTGTATATAAATCGAGTAGAAGTTTATCGGATGTCTATATCTGTATTAAATGAAGAAGGTTTATGTGCTTGATAAACTTATTATCTTCTACATTTTTAAAGCGTACAATTACAATTTATATCTATAATTTCAGGAATAGTATAACCTTTCTTTCAGTAGAAATTACGTTCTTGTTTTCTGAACGTGGCTCCAAATACTCTCTCAGTTCATCGCAAATTAAAATAACTATAAATTTTTGGCAATCTGAAATACGCAATGAAAACATCTTTTGGCAGAGCAAAAGCATCAACATATTTTCTATAAATTCGCCACCAATTCTATCTATTATCTACAACCGTATTCTTCGTTTCAATATGAAAAAAATCAGCGTCGAAAACACATATAAGCCATTGTCTACTTAGTACGTCAACTGCACAACCCTGATTGACGACACGGCAACACTTTTTCATGCGCTTTCGACAACTTCCGTACTCAGAGAATATAGGATGTCGGGCAGACCTGTTTTTTACTAGCAGCGACATCTGACGGCCCACAACTTGCTGTCGACTCTCGTAGCGTAGAATAACCGTCCTGGAGTCATGAAAAATTAGCAACACCTTCACTGTGAATCAAACCACAGACATCTGGAATATGCGCCCAGAATGCAGACCACTACACTATGAAGGCAGAAGTATTTCATTGTTTCTGTGTTTTGTATCTTCAACCGTTTCTAAAATTAATTTATACTAATTAATATAATTAATTTCCTAAAATTAATATATCAATAATTTATATATGTGTGTGTGAGACCATATAGTATTAACATATATTTTATTTAAGAATATTAACCTGTAATTAATAATTTAAATAAATATATTTTATATAAAAATTCAAAATCAAATGTATTCATTGTTTGAGAAGAGTGGGTTAAACATTTTTTATTAGTTTTTCACATCTTAATAGTTTTGGATAGCTTTGGAAAGCTCATCATTTCAGGTTCACTGCATTTTGATACTTTTTTTGATGGAAATGTATAAGAAATGTCTTCATACAAATGTTGGGTTCATGTCCGAGAGGAAATTTTGCAGATATCAATCTAATGTACTTAAATTCAAATTTTAGATATTCTTATGAAAAGCTTGTTGAAAATTAGCTCTGGGATTACAAACAGTATGAATAGTTCTACGAGATACAGAAATTATTGTTTAATGCTAGTTAACAAAGTAAATTTTGGGTATATGGTGTAGCTCTTCCAAGTGATTGACATAATTTATATAAAATGTAACTATCAGTTTTAAGTTTATTAGTTAGACTTTATGTTACCAATCAAATGAGGTTATTCTTTTATCATATTGATGATCCAAGTATTCTGTCTGAAAATTTAAATCAGTGATAATTTAAACTAAGAGTGTTAAGTGCTATCTTAAAAGATTGATGTTAAAAAAAAATGTTTACCTTTGGCTGAGAAGGTAGATTTTGATTAGCTTATTTCTTAATGCCCCCCCCCTTTTTTTTTTTTTTTAATAGGTAAGAAAAAATAGTCTTTCAATGAATTAAAAATTATTTTATTACCCATATTGTCTGCATTTTGATCATGATAAATTTCTGTTTCATTATTTTGATCTTGTTTGTATTTTTTCTTTTGTTTTCTTTATGGTTTAGTTGTGTGCAACTTTTTTCTTAGAAGGTATGATTTGCAGTGTTGTTTCATATTTGTATTATTTTCACCAAAGTCATCTGAATAAAAAGTTTATATTTTTCTTCATATGTCTTTTATTTAATTAGTAGTTATCTTTGATTTAATTAGTAGTTAAGTAAACAAATATTTTTACTAATTATTAATATCTTTGTAGAGGATTCTGATGGATGGGAGACTGTACGTGGACGTAATAGATGCAGAAACTCTCCAGCAAAAAGAACTGCATTAACAAATGAAAATAAAGAAAAGCAAGCTGTTCAGTTTGCAAGATTAAGTCAGTCAAGAATTGGAGGATTTCCTTATACCACAAAAGGAAACTCTAAATCATCACTAAAGGTTGCTGCATCTTCCAAAGATTCAATAACAAATGGTAAATTTGCCAAGAAAGAAAATAGCTCATGTATCAATAAAGATGTAGCTGTTTCAAAAAGTGTTTCTTCAGACTCAGTTTCAGATTTCATCAATAGTACTGTTTCAGACGATGGCCAATGCAAAAATAACAGTGAAATAAGGCAAAGTTGTAAAGATAATAATATTTTAAGCCAGGACAGAGAGATCTGGAAAGAAAAATTGTTGGCTGATTTTAATAAAGATTTATTTGTTCTATCAAAAAAAGGAAAAGATGCACTTGAAAGCAAATCTGACAATAAACGTTCAACGTTGAAAAAGGAGCCTGCAAACTTGATGAAAACTGATGAAAAAAAGTGTTTTGATTCAAATCATTTAACTAGATCATCAAGTCTTCCCAATCTGTTTTCAGAACATAAAAATGAAACTTCCATTTCACAAAGTTTGTGTATTAGTGATGAATCCCTAGGGCCAAAATTATATTTAAAGGTGAAGCTTAAGAAAAAATTAGATGAAAAAGGCAGTGTCTCTTCTCGGAAAAGAATTAAAAAATCAGTTATGAAATCTTGGAATTGTAAATCTGCTCTTAAAGAAACCTTAAATTCCAGTCAGGATGAAAGTGACAATGGTTTAACTTCTGATGATCAAGATGGTACAGTGAGTATTTTTTTTTTTTTTTTTTTTCCTGCATTTTTGAGATACACAACATTGACTATAAGTATTAGACACACTATAATATTGCATTTACTGTGAATTAGTTTTGAGATAAATAAAAACCATGTCATTGAATGTGAGCAATAATTATTCACAATTTTAATATTTGTAATGTTTTCACTACAACTCTCCTTGGTATAGTAACCATTAGTTTATAATATTCTACCATGTTTATGCTATTCCAAACTTACTTAAAACATTTTTAGAGAAAACTTTGGATTGTATTGAATATTTGCATAGCTTTCAGCTTAAATGACCCCATAGATATTCTGAGGTGGAATTCAGTGGAGCCAGGGTTAGCACCACTAGCTATAATTATTATTGCGAATTTATATATATAAATAATTTCAGTGAAATTATATGTGAAATTGTAGCTTTTATATAATGTAACATGAAAACTCTGAAGAGATGAACTCTGCCAGGAAAATAAGATTACTGGGGAAAATCTATTTAACATTGAGGTAAATGGCTATCTCATTAAATTGATGAGATATCACCAATCTGGCAGTGGTTTTGGCAAATAATTTGTGTTCTCCAAATTTGGTCAAAACTCATCAAACTTTGTGATATTATGATCTGGTCCCTGTATAACTGTAATTTAGCCCTATATGTAACTGTAGCTGTATCCAACCCTTATACGTAACTTTAATCATGTATGCCTTCTAGTTATTTTTGGAAATGGAAGATACTAGAGATTTCTCGACAGCTGGGGAGGGGAATTTATATAAACCCTGAGAAAGCATAGGTTTTTAGCTCCGACTTTAAGTATTGAGAGTATTGTGAGCTTCACCTTTTAGATGCGCTTTGGGTTGCGCTGTGTATAACCTTCTTAGTAGTTTGAAGTGTAATTCCTGATTTTACTCTGTGATACTGAGAAGAGCTGTACGAGTGTTTTGGGGGAAAGTTCTAAAATTGCAAAGTGTTTTATTTGGTAAAATATCAAGTTATCAGTGCATTAAATCTATGACTAACCCGTATTCATGCAACATTATGAAAAATCCACTGCACTGAAAATGATTTGTGGCAGAGTGCATTATCTTGGTGAAATTTGATTCAGTTTCTGTTTATGTTGCTGATTAGTTTATGTAAAGCTGATTGTAGAACAGTTGCAAGAACAATAATGTATTTTTGACTTTTGATGCAACCATTGCAAATGTCTATGTTGCCTGTATCACTGGCTGCCATGCATCCTTAGATCATAGTATTGCCTCCTCAGTGTTTTACAGTGAGCGTTAACACTCTCTGTGTTGTAGTTTTCATGTTGCATGGAATGCAGGTGAACTAAACACTTAAGTCAATGGGAAGAGACTAGTTTACAACCAAAAACGTTTTGGACATGTTTGAAAGATTATTTTTTTGTGTTATATAGAAACAGAACAAAGCTTTCCTGAAAGTTTGTTTCTTCAGAAGTGAGAATATTTGACAATGCTTCTTTTGTGAACTTTTTGAAATCTTAATACTTATTTCCCTCATTTTTTCTGAGAGTCGCAGCTTCTTTTTAGCTTTGCAACCTTTCAGACCAACTGCTACAAGTCTTCTTTTCACCATTTTAGCAATATTGGATGGCCAGTTTCTTTTGATATATCTGCAGCAAGCTCATGAGTAGTGATGGGCAACTTCGGTACTTTCTTGTATCCGGTACGAGAGTAACGGGTACAGACAAGTACCTGGTACAAAATACCCGTTACTCAAGTAACCATTACTTTGAAAAGTACCGAAAACCGATTTCAAGTACCGAGTACCCAAGTAACGATTTGGAGTACCGGAGTAATGGTTTGCTGTACCGGAGTACCCTAGTAACGATTTGGAGTACCAAAGTACCCTAGTAAAGATTTGGAGTACCAAAGTGTCCTAGTAACGATTTGGAGTACTGAAATACGCAGCTAACGATTTTGCGCACTGAAGGAACTCAGCCACGTCACCACGTGTTTGATTTTATCTGTACGGAGTAAGATTTTGAATATCAGAAAACATGTCAACTACGGAAGTGTCTGAGGAGCAGGCCATTCATATACACAAGGAGCGCATATCACCATTTCGCAAATACAACCAAATACTACTGTCCTCGTATCAAAACCGAAGTGAGCTGAACCCTCATCGATCCTCCAGTAACGAATACCGAAATACCGAGAAGAGACGCATATTTTCGTTACAAAGTAGCGAATACCAAAAAGCACCCGTTTCGGTACAGAAGTAACGAATACCGAAAAGTGCCCGTTTCAGTACAGAAGTAATGAATACCGGAAAGTACCTGTTTCGGTACAGAAGTAACGAATACCGAAAAGTACCGATTTCGGTACTGAAGTAACGGGTACTTGGATGTACCGATTTTCAGTACCCGTTACAAAATGCCCGGTTCGGTAGTACCGACTCATCACTACTCATGAGAAATTGTTCTTTAATTTTTAGAACGAAGTTTGATTGTCTCAGTTTGATATTCCTTTTCTATTCAAGTGTGAACCTTTCTTCTTAAAACATTCCAAAGCATGTTGTGCTTTGCATCTTGAACATTTATGTTAAGTATTTTGCCAATTCAGCTTGAGGTTTTCCTTTTTGAAAACGAAATTGGTAGCATTGCTAAATATTAAGTTCATTACATTTTGGCATTTTATACAAGAACTATTTTAATTTTCAGAACTAACAAGCACAACTCGATACTAAAACTTCCACTAAAACAAAGTAATTTGGCAGTTTTAATGAAACTCATTAAAAAAAATGCTAATTAGTATTAAAAATATATATAATAAATAAATTTATATGCTAAAAATTAATTAAAAATTGATTTTTGTTTGCTTTTATTTTTTAGAAATAATACCTTTTAAAAGAAATCCATAATTCATAATACTTCTAGGTAAACATTTTTGTACCAGTTTACTCTTTTAAAGATATCTTAAAAATATGAGTGTATGTAATATTTTTACCAAAGTTACGTAATCAAAATATTTTGATTTTAAAATGCAAAAAAATTATTGTATTTTAAGTCACTAGAAAATAAAACAATAGCATCTCTCTCTCTCTCTTTTTTTTTTTTTTTTTTAAGTTTTTATATGAGTTTCATACCTTAGTTTTTTTATAAACCATATTTATACAGTATTGATGTGTAATTATAAATTTTTAGATGTCTCATGATGAAGCTTTTGATGTGCACTGCCAAGAACTGTGTGATGCTGCATGGAAATATAGAAGTAATTTTTTATGCATCGTTTTTGAATATGCAGTTTAAAAGATACAAATTGCACAATATTAAAAAATACTGATTGTTATAAATTATCATCAGGAATCTTTATAACAAAATGACATTTAAGCAGACTTACTGTAAAATTATGCTGTTATTTGGATATAAACATTACTATTACTGAAATTTATTATTATTATTTACTGAAATTTTAGTTATCAACAAAAGTAACTAAATCTTACTTTTGAAAATAATTTTTATTTTCTTAACCTCGTATATCTCTAGTTTCAAATTCTTCTGCCAACTAGAGATAACTCTCATATATCTCTAGTTGGCAGAAGAATTTGAAAAGAATATTTCTTAAATTTTTTTTTTAATAAAATAGAAAAAATATATATGGATAATGTTATTTTAATTGTTGATTATAGAATGTCTTGTCCCTATAATTCACATTTGGTGAAATTGCACAGTTTTTCACACATTCATTTGAATCAACTTTTTGAGTATTATAAAATTAAATATAACAGTCTTTTAATGAATAAATTGGAACAGTAACAAACTAATATAAGCTACTTCAGCTTGAAGTTACAGAAGGGAAATTAACAATCTTTCTCATGCAGTAAATCAAGAAAATAGGTAATGTTTAGTAATCAAAATTCAAAGGCAATTTTCAGATGAAATAGAGAATAATGCATATGTTAGAAAAATACTAATTCTTACTTTTTACAGCTAGTCAAACTGATTTAAGCTGAGCATTCAGGAGTTGGCATTTTACTAGAATTGTGGGAATAGATTAAACCTAGAGTATAATCATATGTTGTAGCTCCAAGTCTGTGTCATATGTTTTACAAATAGAAAAAGCTTGCTAAAGTATATAATATTATAGTTTTATAATATCAGTGAATATCATCTATTCTAGGCATTTTTAAAATAAGTAAATATTACAGATATTTTTAAGATTAATTTTTCCCAGGCATTTTCTTTACACGATTACAGATATGTTTACTAAAATTTTCAGTAAAACTAAAGGATGGTTTTAACATTAAAAATGTAACTATTAATGTAGCAAGGAATAATAGTTTATTATAAATATTTTGCTTTAACTGTCAGTTTTTTTTGGGGGGGGGCGTGAAATAGAGATGTGAGAATGTGAAGAGGGAAAACTGAAAAATGAGTTCAAGATTATTATATTTTATTTATTTCAATATAGTTACAAGCACGATTTTGACAGTGCTAGTGCAGAATTTTGCTGCCGTATGAGTTTAGTTTAATGTGATGAGTATTTGTATTTGTAAGAAGAAAATGACTTTTATTTGAAGAAAAAATACCTTTCAGTTATTCCATTATTGGAGCTTTCTTTTAGCATTAGACTGTTTATATTTTGACATTATAATATTGCAATTGATTTTATTTTCAATAATTGTAAATTGAAATTTAAGCAAGCATCATTATAAACAATTTTTTTGCGCTTCAGGTCGTAGATGACACAGCTTCAAACTTTCAGGCTAGTCCCAGTGTCCAGCATAGAACAGAGGCATTGGATAGACCACTTTGAACTGTCCATAAGATCTTATGGAATATCTTCCGATATTACCCTTACAAACTTTCATTAGTGCAGCAGTTGCTCCTGCATGATTTTGACTCTTGATGCCTGTTCTCACTTCAGTTTCTTGCTTGATTGAGGTTGGTTCAGAATGGCCCTGGAATATCCTCTGAACAGACGAAGTGCATTTTCATTTGGACGGTGTAGTGAATACTCACAACTGCTGAATTTGTGAATCAGAAAACCCATGCCGTATCTTAGAGGTTCTATTGCATTCACCAAAAGTGATGGTATGATGTAAATTTTCTGTGTCATTTACTCTCTGCCCATACTTTTTAGAGGAGTTCAGTTCCACAGGTCCAGTGACATGCTTGATCACTGGGCAGCAATATGCATAATTGTTAGAGAATGAAATTGTTCCATCTCTGCAAGCACATCAGTGCCTTGCATGCACAATCTTTATGGAGCTCCTCCACATATTACACGGTGTATTAATGTTCTTAAACGTCATTTTGCAGAAAAATGCGTTATTAGCCTGCACTTTCATAATGTATGCCCCCCGATCCCTAGACCTCAGTCTTTGCGGTTTTGGGATTTGGAGGTATTTGAAACATCTGGTAAGTCATTACAGTCCAAGAACTTTACCTGATCTTAAAGCTAGCATTTCACACCAGGTGCTGCACATTTCCCAGCACACCTTCAGTCATCAGTGGAACACACCATCTTATGATTTCAGGTGGTAGCTAAAAATGATGGCCATCATGTGGAATATTTCGTTTTAGTAGGGGGGGGTTGTTGTTTTTTGTAACAAAATGTGTATAATTGTAAATTTTTTGTAAAAATGAGTATAAATGTGTAATTTCTTAATATTATGGTGATGGTATTTAGAACTAATATTCTTTTTTTCTCTGAAAGAAATTCTCATCCCTTCATTAATAAGTCTGCCATAAAATTTCACAATTTTCTGATCAGTGGTTTCACTTGTAGGCAGGTTTTGAAATAGGGTTCTTTAATTATAGACACCCTGTATATAAGACCAGAGAGAGCATCATTTATCGTTTTTAGTTCAGAATCACTTTTGGAGTACTGGGAGATTTCCTTGCAAGCTTTGGCCCACCAGCGGCCGAGCAGTAAAATCGCTGAACACTGGTAGTTCGGTCAGAGGTTCAAATCCCGCAAGCGGGCTGGCTGCATGGGTGTTTTCGTGGTTTTCCCCATGTGTAACGTGTATACGAGCCAGTTTCCCTTAGAAAGTTCTCCACGAAGGCATCCCTCCCCTTAGGCAGATAGCCCTAGTGTGCTTTGCTGTATTTCTCAATACACCTTGTAAGCTTTGCTCTTTAGATGCAATTTGCATTGCATTGTGTTTAACATTTTTAGAATTTTGAAGTGGAAACTACTGGTCATGCTCTGTCATACTGAGAAGAGGTGTATGAGTATTTTTGTGAGAAATTCCAGAACTGTAGTGTTTCTTTTGAGGGGGGAAAAATTATCACGCTATCATTAATTCTGAGTGCATTTAATTCATTACAAACTCATATACATGCAGCAGTATTAATATTTTAAAATCATATCAATACAGATTTAATATTTGTTAAATCATAAGAAAATGCAAGTTTTGTACATAGTTATGTAACATCTAAAAAAAAAAAAGTCACACCTTTATTTAAGCTTTTATCTTGATTAAGTAACATTTGTTTTTTCATCCTGAGAATTTTTTAAAGCATATTTATAACTTTTTTAAAAAGAAAAAGTCTTAAACTCTCATTAGACATGCCTTTTGACTCTGAATCTTAAGCAAAGCACTATGACTCAAATTCAGTTCTTGAAGTATTTTTTGGTTTGAATTATTACAAAGAAATTTCTGAGGGTGGGAATGCACTAGACAGCATTTTAAAAAGAAGATGGCATTATTTCTTCATTTTGTTCTTCATCCCCGCTACTTAAATATTCATCTAGTAAAGTGTTTTCAATTGTTTGTTAGTCTGATGTCATTACATTGGCATCACACTTATGTATTCTTCAATTGTAATGTATAATCCCTAATTCACAGTTTCATCATTAATACTTTCACTTGATTCTGAGTTAAAAAATCCTGCTTTAATGAAGGAATTTTTAATTGATTGTGGTTTTGCCAGGCCCAGGCTAGTGAAATCATATTTATAACCTCAAGAATATTTAAATTTTTTCTATATTTTCTGTATTTATATTTTGAAGGGCCATCTAAATCACATTGTCTGTAGAACATTTCCGAATTCTTAAAGGAGCTTTCTTAAGGATTCTTAAATTAATTCTTAAAGATTGTACTACTCTAGTGCAGTTTTCACATTTTGAAAGAAATCTGTCATTTGAAGATGGGAGTACACCGATTCATAAAAAGTAAAATTTTGCAGTTTTGTCTCCTCCTAGTTCTGTCTATTTTCTTTAGCATTCTTAAATTAATTCTTAAAGATTGTACTACTCTAGTGCAGTTTTCACATTTTGAAAGAAATCTGTCATTTGAAGATGGGGGTACACTGATCCATAAAAAGTAAAATTTTACAGTTTTGTCTCCTCCTAGTTCTGTCTATTTTCTTAAGACATTGTGTAAAAATGTCCATATTCATCCATACTTTCTTATTTGCTTTATATTCTAATTTCAGGGCTTTTTAACATGTTGGTAGCACCTTGGTTTTTGTAACTTTCTCATGTCGAAATTCATTTTTCCCATACCATCAGCATTTGCACAATGTAAAACAGTGAGATCTTCTTTACTATGCTTAGCTTCCTGACACTGGTCATCTTTGAAAGCTAAGGATCTTGAAGACATAATTTTAAAAGAAAAGAGCAATTTTATTAACAATAAAAATGTCTTTTAATTCATATTCATCTATTTTGGTGGATAAATTCTTGAACCATTCATCAACTGGCTCAGCAGGAACATTTCTTCATTCTGCGTTTATGCATGAGATTCTAAACCGCAGTTTAAATTTATTCCCCCATCCAATAAAATCAAGCTTCTTTTACATTCAGTCGAAGTGCTATTTCGACTAACATATAGCCATCCACTGGACTATTGGATGCATGGCACAAGATGAAAAAATTTAGCAAAGTGTTTTTGGTCTCAAGAATCTTTCAATTTCGAAAGAATCAGGAATCTTCCAGTCTTGAATCTTGGATTTCTTTGAAACTGACTGTCCATAAATTCCTGCTCTTTCTTCAACTTTTTTTTCCTTCATAAGCAACCATTTTTAGTGTTGTCACAGGAATATCCACAACTCAACTTTCAAACCAGTATTTTCATCAAATTCTTTTAAAATTTGAATTTTATCTTTTAATGAGTGTGCCTTTCATTTTCATGACATTTTATATCACTTACTTCTGTTCCGACCTATTTTACTTAACACAACATCCTATTCAGAAGAAAGAACCATGTCTATTTTTCCTTTCAAGTATCCCCTCTGTTCATGAACTGTTTTAACTCCTGTACCAGATTGTTATATCTCAAGCCTTTGTTTCCTTCTCCTGACCTCATTTCTGAAAAAAAAAAAAATACTTGAAGAGTGGGACTGTGAAATGTAAAACCAATGCAGTAAGTCAAGCAAAATCAACCTATAACCAAAGTTATGTGACATACAAAAAACAAATATTTTACTATTAAAATAAAAGGGCTGAATCAGGATCAGTATGAAACAAAGGATAAATGTAAAAAGTATATAAACGATGTTCTGCTGTATTCTGGAAATTTTAAAAAAAGGGGGCCAGTAAAAACTGTGTTTATTGGTTTAAACTTATTTAATTTATTAATTAATAATATTAAATTTGGAAGATAAATATCTTATGCTTTGCCAAATTGCAGCACAGTGTTGCATGATAAACAAAAATACTTTATTTCAGGCAGTAGGAATATATTACTTTTAAATTATTGAGTTTGCTGAAAGATTTTTCAAATTTACGATGCACATGTGTACAGTTCAGATGCACATGTTTGAATGCAGAAATGTTCGTATTCAAAATTTAATGGCTTTAGGTGCTACTATCTTTCCATAGGGTAAGGAACAAACATACATATTCTTCCGTTTTTAATAATGGAGGTTATAATGATTATGATTTTAGTTACTTCTAAAATCATTGCGTGAATTGCAATACTTTTAATTTTGTGTTCTTACTAATATATATATGTAATGTTTTAAGTGTGTAGATGCCACTGGAACTTAACAGCTTTCGATAGTCGAGTGAAAGGCAGGAAGAAATGGTAATTAACTGAACTTGGATTGTTGGACAATTACAATAATTTCTCATATACACAGACTAAAAGAAGGCCAATATCAAGCAGAGCAGCGGGGAGATTTTCAGCAGTGATAGAAGTTAGGAAAGGAAGATGACGTAGTTAACTTGTGAGCAGTATTTATACTGAGTATATACGGAAAGTTGTGATTGGCTAATTTTAGTTTTAGTTACTTTTTTCAAGTAGTGTTATGTAACATGGAAAGATCTCGAATTTTGGCTAATTTTAGTTTTAGTTACTTTTTTCAAGCAGTGTTATGTTGTAACATGGAAAGATCCCAAATTTGGGAGAACAGTTGAATTTAGGGGGGAGAACACCAAATCTAGAATAGTTAATTTTTAGATCGCTAATTATTCTTAAAGCAGCCATCGTATTTTGTTATAGAAAATCTGGCTCAGTGTAATCATAATTTCATTCTGCTTTGTAAAGAACAAATCATCAATCTCACTTAAATTCAGGCCAAATTTGCATTTAAAATAAAATGTGTGAAATATATAATATCATAATGTTTCATTTGATAAAATAATAATATTTTTGTATTGAATTTGTGAAAATGAAAGTTAATTCAGATGCAAAATGGTGCATTTTGAAAGTTTATTCAAATAGTTATTATTACTGTTTTCTTCTTATTCTGCTCTCTCTCACTCTTCCTCCCCCCTTTTTTTTAAAGTTTTAGGACTCTTACCCTTCTCTCTCTTTTAAAGTTTTAGAGCAAGAAGTTCATAAACTTGAACTTTCCTGGGATGAACAAATGGATCGATTTGATTTTGAACTGAGAACACCGGGTCGAGCTCTAGAAATGCATGAAAAATTATCTTCCCCCTTTAGAAAAAAGTATGATTTCAGTTGTGGTTTAATTAATTGATCATTAAATTGCTCATTAGTTTTATTATGTTTTTGTGAACTTGAATTTTTGGAATTTCTAGATCATTGTTGGAATCAATTCGCTTATGTAATGAAAAACAGTTAAAAGCTCAAGAACAAAGAGAACGACTGCTTGAAGAAAAAGCCCAAAAGTTTAAAGTCATCGAAAAAAAGGTATTTTTTTTAAATTAATTTCATGTTTGTTTTCAATTTTTCAGTTTTAATATACAACTTGAAATAGAGATAGAACTTTTTATGAATTAAGGAGGAAAATTATGATGAGTGTATCACTAGATGTACGCATTTGATTTGTCTGTAGATGTATTTAATTAATGTGTATATTTTATCTATGTTGTTTAAATTTCATTTTCTCATTTCTCTAAAGTTTTTTTCATCTTTTCACAATACTTTTTCTCTCTTTGTCTTTTTTTTTTTTTTTTTCTCTTTGCTTAAATGTGTGTCTGAATTAATTGAAATAGTTTCTTTCACAGTAGAAAGCAATGTGTAAGAAAACACAAAATGTTCATACTTTTAGTGTTTGATTCTTGGTCAAAAAGGTTAACTGAATAGTATTGTTGCTTTTTGATATCCAACCAAAATCCATTTCAAAGGCACCATTTTCTCTGATAAACGTCTTAGAGTTTGCAGTGCCATACTTACTAAATTAACCCATACTTTAATTTCATTTTCTTAATTTAATGTGTTAAAAAATTTTTAAACTGCGTTATTGTTTTTTTACTTAAAAAAATTACTAAACACTTTCTTTTAACTGTTCCTGTAGCGACAGGAAATGAAGGCATTAGCAGAGCAACGACAAGAAAAGCAACGCATTCTAATGGAGCAAAAGCTGCAAAGGGCTGAAGAAAAACGGAAAAAACAATTACAAATAATTATCAGGAAAGCTCATGATGAAGAAGAAAAGGTTAGAATTAAATTCACATTATCTTTCATTTAGATCTGTTCTAGTACAATTTGCAGATTTGATGCTTTAATTAAAACTATAATAGATAACTAATCAGTCAATTTACATCAGTAAAAGTGAAGTACCATGCTTGAAATACTGAAACAGCAAATACTGGGGGAAATAAGTTAAATACAAAGCATATGCAATTGTTTAGACATCTGATTTTCTGTAGAACACTCCTGATCACAATGATTATTTCATGTTCAAAAATATTAATTAAATGCACAGAATTTAAAAAATAAAATATACATTTCACTGAATTAATTATTGTCTTTTCCCCCATCTTTTGAGTTATAGTTACCAATAAAGCATACATTGTATGATAATAAATATGTTAATTTTATGAATTATTTGAATTTCTTATGTTGTTAAAGATTATTTTTAAGCATGCTATTTATATATTCACATTACAAACTACAAATAGTGAGCTCACTTTAAGTATGAAAATATTGTCATGTATTATAACTAATTCATTTTCATTTCATTTCTATACTAAAAGTCGCATAAGATTTTTTTTAATCTTCCATAAAAAATTGCATGGTTCGTTCTTTAAATCAGACTGAGATAATTAATTTTTTGCATTGCAGGTGAATGAAATAGCCTTTATCAACACATTAGAAGCCCAAAATAAAAGACATGATCTTATATCTAAAGAGAAAGACCATGAAGCTCGATTACATGACATTCAGGTAAAGTCAGCCAATTAAGTCAACCATTACACAAACTTCAGATTCAGATAAAATCACCTGTACAGTTTTGTAGATTTTAAAATCTTAAACTTGCATGTATTTTATGCAGGAGGAAAGACAGCGGCGGCAAGAGGAGAAGGCAGCTAAAGAAGCTGCTGCAGAAGTATGAAGTAATAGTATTTTTTCTTTTTAAATGTGATAAACTTCACTTTTGAGAAGTTATTAATTTTCTTTCTACTTGCTGTATAATAAAAGTTGCATTTAAGCTTCTAAAATCTTTAAAAGAAAAGGAAAAAGAAGAATGCTTATTGATGAAGTCCCTTAAATTTATGTAAAATAAAAATTTTGTTCCTTAAGTTTCTCTCTGTGGGCATTTCAATCTGTTTCTTTTATGCAATAAATAACTTTACATCTAATAATAATATCATGATATGGTTGGTTTGGATCTTTTTGTTACAGCAAGTAACACAACCAATCTAAAAAATGTACTGCAGGTTAAATTTTTTATTTATTGCAAATATGAAATTTTTTGTATTTAAGCATTTTTAAAAAGCATTTATTTTAACCAACAGTGTTAACTTCTATTGCTTAGGAGGAATATTAATCATATAGCTATCATAATTTAATATTGAGTAAAAACAACTCTCACTGAAGAGATGAAAAGTCTTGAGTTTTTTATTTTTGAAATGAGAAAGCTCTCTACAATGAAACATTTAAGTAATTGGATTGCTGTAAATTTCCAAATATTATCTGATTCACAGATAAACTAAGATGTAAAATTTTGCAGCAAAAATTTAGTCAAAATTCAAAATCTGGCCATAAACCAAATTTAAAATCACTCTATAAATTAAGCTACATATATTGCTAATTTTATAAATAACTGATCATCTGGCTTAGCAAGACTGACAGGCTGAATGACAATTTACCTTATATTTCTGTTAAAAAAGTAGGTTTAAGTTCTTTGCTGAATGAAAAATCAAATTCAGTGCCAATAGCTTCTCTATCAATTCTCCCATCTTTTGGGTACGCACATTGTTTGATGTTTTCACAATGGTGTAGTCAAGCCAAATTTATTTTTGTTCTCAGTTGTAACCTTTCTCAAGCAATCAAAAGCCTCCCCCCCCCAGCTGTGTTTGTACTTTCACTAGTCAAATAATGATTCTTCACTTTTGCTATAGTCAAAAATACTTGTATAGAAAAGATTTCATTTTCTAATTTTGAAAAACTGATACCTTTTAGTTTAAACTATTTTTACTTTTATTGAAGTTTACTTAGTTTAAAATAACTAAGATTTAAATAATAAAACTGATAACTTTCAGTTTTAAACAAAAAATTATCAAGATATTACTGAGGTGTGCTATAGACAAAACTGAAAATATTATTTACAAGGGGAATGATAACAATGTTAATAGCAAAATGATGAATAATAACATTCACCTGGATTTGCCTATAGCAGAGAGAGATAATTTTAAGTGAAATATTAATGCTGAGAAATTTTATTGACGCATATTAGGATCAAAATAAAATTTTTAAAAATTTATTTATTTAATCTGCAATAACTGCTTTTGTGAATGAATTATTTGTAAATAATTTCTAATGCATATATGAGCAAACTCCAACTTCAGTAATAAAAATTTGCTTAAAGATATCAGCTTACGTATAGAAATATACAGCAATTCCTTTAAGTTTCCTATTATTTTTATTTAGTTAATTTTATTTCATTTATATATTTATTTTTTCAATTTAAAAGCAAGGAAAATATAGCAAAAAAGAATGCATGAAGCTGCTTTTCATCATTTATTTAGTAATTAAAAGTCATCATTCATTCAGTAATTCAGTCAAAGTACTAGCTTTAAAAAAAAAAAAAAAAAAAAAAAAAAAAAAAAAAAACTAAATCTTTGAAATAGCTAATAAAAATAGTTGTGATCTTGTGTATGATTCTATGCGTGTGTACACTGTGATTTTAAAAATAATTTCTAAAATTGTGTTTATTCTTAATGAAAATCTACAAATTCCTTTTTGTGTACATTTAAATTTAAAAATTTTAATAACTGTTTAATTCATGAAATAAAAATAGTGCTGTGCTAACAGTGTTTATCCATAACTAAGATATAAATATAAGCTGAGAATGCAAATGTTAAATAAAATGAGAAAAGACATTGAAAGCAAAATGGGCTTAAGACTATTTCTGACAAGCAATAGTGCTTATAGAACATTATATCGATGCTGATATAACATAACTTTCAAAATGCTGAGCCGAAAAGTAATATGGAAATACAACTCTGCATAGGCAGATGAAAGAGTAACAAAGTTGCAGTACTTTCAAATCCTTCTTTGGGGCAGAGATTCAGTTTAATTCTGCTAATTATTGCATTTTAAAAATAAATAAGTAAAGCAAATAATAATATGAGTAACAAACTGATTTTTACCCATGTTGCACAAAGTATATGACTTGATAATATTTCTGTTGCTAAACTGAAATTATATAAGTGAAATTCTTCTATTATCCAAAGACTTATTTATGAAACATAGTTAAATTTTATATACATTGAATAAAAAAATCATCTAAAAGGTGAAGCTTCAAAGCATTCTGCTGTATGTTGCCTTAAAATCTTAAAATATTGCTATGCAGATTTTTTGTTAAGATTCAGTTGCTATCAGCATATTAACTAATGAATTTGTTAATGACTAATTTATATCAAAAAGTGTGATGCATATTGGAAGCCAACATCTATGGCAAATCTGAAAAAAATCTGAGAGTTACTATTTAAAATCAGCATACATAAACATATAGAAATCAATCGAACAACCCTTCCTCATTTTATGATGAAACATTTTGTGTTCAGTGTAATCTTCTAAGTATGTGTGTGTATATTTCTTAATTTTAGGCCTCATTTCCTTCTCATGATATTCTTGTTGTCAGGGTTTATGATATTAATAAAATAAAAGCAAATGCTATTAATGTCAGTTTCCAATAGAATCGAACTTTAATGAAAAAAGACTATAGTTCTATTTTATCCAAATGTAAAAGAAAGAAGCTATGTAATAAGAAAATTTCTTTATCACAGGAAAGGAGAAAAGTTCTTGAAGCTGAAAGGCAAGCTCGCTTAAATGAAATGCAAGAAAAAAGGAAAATGAGAGATCATAAAGTTGAGCAGTTGTTTTTGGTTAAAGAAAAGGAGAGGCAGGAATTAGCCAGTCAAAAAGCAAGGTAAATATCATATTTTAATAAAAACAGTTAATTAATAATATTGATTTGCATAATATTTTTTGAAATTATATTGTAAGATATTTTCACCTCCCTTAACCACGTGTCCTCCTGGTATGATTGGAAAGCATATCCGATTAGCAATTAGAAGGTCTGAAGATAAAAATTCTGACATTTTTATTGGTGGTCGTTTTTTTCACATCTCCTATTCAAAAATAAACCTTATGACTATAAGTGGCAATAATTCCATCACTGCTAATAATTGTCACTTGTCAGCTGGTCTCTGTTCTCTTTGCACTTCTGCAAAAGCTTCAGTTTAGCATTGCCTATATCGGCAGCACTACACGCTCGTTTATCATTTACTATGAATCATAACCACACCTTCATGGTATAATATGAAAGCACATCCAACTAGCAATCAGAAGGTCTGTAGTTCAAATCCCAGTGAAGGCAATGCACATTTTTCACATCTTTTACTCCAAAATAAACCTAATGACAATGGTGTGAAATCCAAAAAATGCATCAATTGTTCATTTATTATTAACTTTAGAAATGGAAATTCATTTTGCACAATATATAGGGCCACTTTTTGAATTCTGATGAAAGTGAACAATAGAACCAAATTTCAGTTTTCATCATTTACTGTTGAACTCCAGGTGTTGGATCAAAATATATGCTGGTAGTTTTAAACTAAAAGTTAACTGATGTATTCTCCCTAGGATTACAGAATCCCCTGACATAAAGACAACTAGCTGATGTGTTCTTTTGCAACATCATAAAATCTCTGTCCCCATAAGGATAACTGTTATCATACAAATGAGTAACTCACAACTAGAAAAATATACTTTTTAAATTTTATTGATAAGTTAAAAATAAAAAGCAAGTTTAGGAAAGTTGTTTTTAAAATATGTTATAAAATATTAAATAATTCTTGTATTTCATAAATAGCATATATTGTTAAAGTAAAACTTGGTATTTAAAGGAAATATAAATTTTCAGAATTCTGATTTAAACTGTACGGTTACATCTTCTTATAATTTTTCTTAAAGTCACTAAATATTTCCTTTTTAGAGTGTATGAAATGTTATGTACTATACATTATATTATATATTATATTATAAATGTTATATGCTATACATTATGTTATATACTATATATGGCAAAGCAATCAAGTGCTATTTGCCAGACCATCTAATAACACTACCAAAAGCCATTAGAAATACTTTTCCTTTTAAAACTGTCACTTCATAGTCATATTTTACATGCTTTATTTCAAATTATACCATCTCCTGTTGCCAATCTGCTACATTTCTTTTTTTTTTTTCCCTTGCCTCAGTCATAAAGAAAATTTAAACTTGGTATTTATACTACTGGGGTTTAGAATTAATTTCAGATTTAAATGTTTTGTGGTTCCATTCATAAAAGGTAGCATATCAGTAATTGTTTGTTCCTTATATGCATCAACATTTTTTAAAAATTCTTTCACACTGATTGTGAAATTGGTTACATGTATTTAAAAAAGGAGGATTCTTAAATAATAAAGTTTACTACAAAACAAGGAGAGGAGGAGGACAAGAAAAAATTATTATAAACATTAAATTATCAACCATGTAACACAGAACTGAGTATATGTGATTAGGTGATCCTTTCAAGTTTTCAAAAAATATCGCTTCTTGTAATAGTTGTTGTAAATTGCGTATTGCTAAAAGAAAAATTTGGACAACAAAAAATTGCAAACATTTTTGTGAAATTAATATTTTGTTCATTACTTTTTTAGAGATAGAGAACAGCGGCTGTCTGCATTAAATGCTCAACAACAAACTTGTATTGAGGAACTACAGAAGAAGATACAATTAAAAGTAAATCTGTAATTTCTGACTATAATGTGCTTTTGAGCAATTGTTGAACTTTAATGTAACTGGATCTTTTGCTTAAATTTTGAAAAACTGAAATCTTAGATTTCTTTTTTACAAACATAAACAATTTTAAAGTACCTCTGAGTTTTTATTTCTTTGTTCATTTTTCTGTAAAAGATTGTAAATACTGTTTATTAATTGAGGATACTGAGTATTAAAATGATACTTTACATTGCTGGGAATAGTAAAGCAATGCTGTAGTTACATATTCCTTAATTTTATAATTTGTCTATGCTTTTTCCTTAAGGATTACACTTGGCTGATATCTGTATAAATTGGAGTATTAAAACCCTTTGTTGCTCAGTGTTCTACTACATGGAACACCCAACTTGAATCGCTTCTGAAACCATTAAATTCAACCGTAAATGGATAAAAATGCCTTTATAATATACTTCAAACTTCTCTTTTTAAATAGTCAATGGCAGCATATCATAAGGAGGTCCAGAATTTTCATTTATGATGTGTTATTAAAATCCACTTATTTTCTAGTAATTTTTTTTTTTTTTGGTGTGTCAAAAAAAAAAAGTTGAAAATCAATTTCGTATTTTGATGGCTGTACTCTATATTATTTGTTATATATTTTTCTGCATTTTTTATACAAAAAGCATGTGCAGAATCATTGAATAAAACAGGTTGTTTCATTAGCGGTTGTATATGTTGTTTTATTTCTGTTGTTTTGGGGGAATGAATTCCAACAAAGCAAGAGGTGAGGTGTGGTTTGTGCTATGAAAGCCCTTATATGGTCATCTTGAAATTTTTGTGAGTAGTTTACTGGCGGGATTTTTATTAGTAGCTTGAGTCATCTTTACTTAGAGCTGCGCAAATTTTTTGGTGTCACTTTTTAGTCTCATTCCCGTTTATTTTCAATAATTGTGTAAATATTTTTTGTGTATGTATATCTTATAGCTTATTTTTCTTTATTGTTAGTATTAATTGTGGTTAATTTTTTATTATTAATTTTCAATAAATGGCACGGAGAGGTCTAACTCTTTCCGAAGTGCTAAAAGTGCTTCATAAACTAAGTGCTAAAAGTGCTCCTGAACCACTTGTGTAGTCCAAAGATGATATGTGGGATGAAACTTATTTATTTGATGAGAAGGTTGGTGATCCATCTCACCCAGGCCCCTCTACACAGCTTTAAGTTTTTACTTGGAATTCTAAACATATTGTTGCACGGAAAAAAGAAGCCCAAAAAACAAGTTTATGTTAAAACGCCAGTTGGTTTGTGCCTATCAAAAGGCTGGGTGTGACATGCTTTGAACAATTTCACGAAGGTAAGAAATCGAAAAATTTGTAAATATTTTTGTATATAGGTGTATATCCATATATTTATCTCATTTATCCATATATATTGAAAAATGTTGTGAATATATTGAAGAAAGCCATGCATACAGCCATAATACAATGTTTTTTCATTACTATAAAAATGCTCCTATTCATTTCCGTGCTTCACTGCAATGCTCACTTAGTCGCACTTTTACGATCTCTGTCAGAGCAGTGTTCCACCTCACGGAACACCCACAGAATTAAAATAGGATGTGCAATTTATACAAAATTTTACCTGTATACTCCTTTAGGACTAGACTGCATACAACTTTTTTTGTTGAAGTTTCGACTTTAAAGTATAGTGCATCACAAAGGGGTAACAGAAGATTTTTTATTACAGAAATAAAATTTCTACTATTCACATACCTAATTGTATTCTTACTTGCATAGGAGAAACCTTCATATCTGTAACATTTTTCACAGTTGGAAATTTGTTATTATTACTTAAAGAATGAAAATGATCTATCAAGCAGTTCTATGTAATGTTTTGTGTATAGCAAATTAGCATCAGTTGACAACTGAATAAAATAGGAGCCGTGAATTATCTGACATAATTAGCCCTAAATATTTTATCATGCATGGAAACTTGAAAAGACAAAGTAAGCCAGACTGTCAGTAGTGGATAATATTGTATGTCCTAGTAATTTCAAGGACAGCAAAGAACATATTAGTGAGGAAGTTGAACGTAAGAGTAAAACCTTATACAGATAGATCTTTTAAGAAAATAGTCTCTATCAAAATGAAAAGAGTATGGCATTAAAATGTTCAGAATCTGTACATCCATAGTTAAGAGTTTAGTGACACTGTGCATGATCAATGGATTCTTTTTGTTCACAACTTGCTGTTTTGCTAATATGATGTCTGTACCGAAGCTAATAATATGAAGTATTCCTAGCACTGTATTTCAGAGAAGAATGGGAATGGTTTTCATGTGGACTAGATATCTTACCATGATCCGCAGAACATCTCCATATTCATTGCAAATTTAGCACATGTAGGGCATTATCAGTCATATACTGACAAAAGAGTAGCCAAATTAAATATTTTGCATGCCCATATTATTTAATTCATTGGATGAACTTTAAGTGGTTCCTAATTAATAGCATGTTACAGTGGTTATTTGTATGCGTATATTGGACCTACATTTTATTAAATAAATTATATCAATTTGCATACATATATGATAATTATTTGCCCATTTGGTTATTTGAAGTTGCAATTCCTATAAACTTTATTGTTTCATGCTTTTCCTTTTATGGTGTTGTAGTTTCTCTCTTGAGCATATTTCCATGCTTAGTTGGTCACTCTCACCTGAATTAAAAATTTTAATGGCATTGAATGTACAGTTTATAACTGTTGTATTTATCAAGTCAAATGTGAAAAAAATCTCTATCAGATTTATTTATTTTCAAGTAATATATATTGAAGTGGGGGGGGGAAGAGACATCTGGTGCACATGCATAATGCTTAGTAGGTCTATCAAGGAGTGTAGAACTGCAACAACATGGACTCTATATGGGACTAATTTTGCCATAGTAAGAGGTGCTGGATTTTTCTGTTCTATATAGCATACTGCATCTTTCTCAACCATAATTTGGTGTCTCTAGACTTTTATGGTTGTGCATTCTATTGTTATAAGAGGCTAAATCCATCAAAATGATTGTAGACCATGAGTGAAGTGATGCACCAGAAAGGATGTGTAAGATGTGTTCATTTGTCAGAGATGTTTATAGATGTACTGGTGATGGAAAAACAAGAATGGCTTCCTTTTTACTTCCTTGTACGAAGTAAAGAGAAAGTATTGTAATCACGAAAGTTCAGGTAGCTATTCATGAAAGATCATTTTGACGCTATCGAATGCATTACGATTTTTTGATGTATCTGTAAGTTGGGACAGAATAAAAGACTGTTTCCTCAAAAAATTTAAAACTCTTTAAATTAATTCTGAAGAGAATTGTGCGTGGGCCATGTACAACGTTCATCGTATCTCCACATAACTCAAAATGAGTAGCTCAGAACGGCTGAAATTTTTTATAGGATGCTCTAACACGTAGAGTGAAATCAGATTTTGTTGCAATATACCGGGGGGGCACCAACATATAAAATTATTTAGTATATATCCACTCTGTACCGGCTCAGTGATCTGGTTTTTTATCATATCTGTTTGTAATTACATTTTTGCTTAAAAATGGTTGTGAATTCTGTTTGTTTATCTCGGTTAGGTTTTTTGCCTTTAGTAAATCTCCATGCAACTATTTTTAGATTATCACAATTTTAAAGTTGTTTAAGTGCCGTAAGCTAATCCTTTTCTGGTGGCGCCTTGTTTGTTGACATTTGAGCAGAGACTAGTGGATTGTTGCCAATCAGAGAAACGTAGCTTCGCAACAAAAGATAATGCCTTCATTATTACGCCATTAATCATGCTTATCCTTTCTGGAATTTTAGAGAGAAATAAATGTTTTAAGATTACTTGAATTTTATGTAGATATTTGAGGTTTTATGTATTTTTGCTTCCACGAAATGAGAACTGAATTAATTGACTGAGAAATACTCAGTCGTTGTGAAAAACGTTCTTTTTGTTTTGTTGCTTAATTCTTTATGCATCGTCTAGCTAATAGTATTAGATTTGAAAGAACTGTCCCAACGATTAGATAATCTTTTTTAAAGATATAAATTTCGTGCACTATAGTTAAATAGAACGAAATATATACTTCAGTGAAGCGCCAGAGTGTCGCTTGGTAAACAAATATTAGAGTGAATTTTAAAGATGCATTTATTCTATTGTGGTTCTGCACTCGGCCGAAGTAGTTTAATGCAATCAATAATTAAAGAAATGCAAGAAAAAATGCGTATAATTTAATATTCCGTACAGGGAAGTCATGTGGTGTACACATCAGATTTTTTTATTACATTGCCAATTTCAAACCAATTAAACCAAGTACATATCCACATTGGATCTTCTTTATTACTGTGACAACTCTTTTCAGTGGAAAGTTTATTCATATCATATTGATTTTTATTGCATTTTGCATCACATGTTTACTAGATTTGCAGAGAAATGAAGCAGAGTCAATCGATTATTTCTAGGCATGTGGTATTTCCCCCTAAACTCACAAGTGCTATGATTCCCATGTACTGAAATTGTCTATGACTGAACATGGAAATGTAGTATTAAAATAAAAACTGGGAACTGATTGCAGACAAGTTTTTTCCCATATGTAACAGAAATCATGCAGAAGCAGAGAATAATAATCTATTAATAACTGTAAAGAATCATAATATGCTGATAACTGCTGAAAATGGATGTGATTATAAATATGATTGCCAAAGATATGCACCAGAAATTTTTTAAAATATTGTTTAATCAATATACTGACATTGAAAATACATTTCATTGCCAAAAGATAGATTGTTAAGGGTAGCTTAGATTCCTTCATCAAGAATTTAAAAATAACACTGCAATGTGAAACCTAGAGATTTCTCCAAGTAGGTTTGTAAGGTATTTCTCCTGCCTTTTTAGCATGCCTTCGTGGTGTAGTGGTCGGCACATTCAGCATGTATTCAAGAGGTCAGAGTTTTAAGTCCCGGTGAGGCAATGCACATTTTTCATCTCTCCTGCTTTAAAAAAGTACCTAATGTCTCTACAATGGCACCCGAACTAAAAAAGTTGATGGATTATGATTCTGCACCACCAGGATTTGGCGATTGGGTCCCCTAATCCCCAGTTGGTCTGTAAAAGTGGGTATATAAGATATTCCTCCCTTCTTCTTAGCATGCCTTCATGGTGTAGTGGTCAGCACACTCAGCACATATTCAAGAGGTCCATGGTTCGAGTCTCAGTTAGAGCATTGCACATTTTTCACATCTCTTGCTTCAAAAATAGCCTAATGTCTCAACAGGGTATAGTTCTAGAAATTTAAACATATGAAAAATCAGTTAAATAGGCTATTTCATGTTTTAAAAAAAATTAACATTGATGCTGCTAATTTAAGTGGTGGAATAGAGTATGATCTTTATGAATGAAACTGTGTAATTGAAAATGCAAATTAGAACTATTTTAAAACTTGCAAAATTTTGACATTTATTTTGAGTTTATAAAGAGATTCATTAAAAAAAAAAAGAGGCACTTCACTGTTTATTTATGTTAATTAAGTTTTGACATACTGTTTGCAGCATAAATGTTATTTCCTTTTTTTTCGCAGCAAGAAGAAAGCGCTCGCAGACATGAGGAAAACATAGAGCAGATAAGGCAAAAAGCTTTTGAATTGAGTGTTCGGAGGTGTTCTTCTAATAATGATGATGTTCCTCAACATGTGCCTTATGAAACAAAGAAAATTTGTACTTTGTGTAATGTTTTGGTATGTTCTATTGTAAACTTTTTCTCTCTTGCGTGCAGATTTATTTTATGTATAAAGTGTAGGATATCGTAATTTTAAAGGATGATAAAATATAGCGAAAATTACAATTTTCATAGTAAATCAGTAGTGAAATGTGACCATGGGAGCATAATAAGTAAGAAGAATGTGAAAAATAAAAAGTCATTTTTAATCATTTTTTTTAGAAATAATGTTTGATATTTACGAGAGTTCTTCAAAAGAATGACCAACTGCAATACAGTGATTGATATATATAGGGCAAGATGCCTTGCACTGTATATATCAATCTGAAGCAGTGGCTCCTGACAATTTTCCTGACAAGTTCTTCAGTAAAGTGAATTTGCATCTCGTAAATAAGACCTATCATTCATTGTGATGCATGTACTGTAGTTGCTGGTTATTTATTTAAACAATTCTCTTAAATTTCAAACACTGTTTTCTCATAAATATCGATAATTATATTGACTTGTTGTTTTCTGTGTTCTTTGTACTTAACAGTATTTTTGCATTCACGGTTCACATAAGCAGGAATTCTGAAACATACATGAATATTTTTATTTCCTGCAGTATTTTATATATTGTTGTCTTACTGTAACAATTTTTTTTTAATCTAGTATGATTTTAAAAAAAAACTTTACTCTCAGAAATTTTGAAATTCAAAAATTTAATTAGACTATTTTCTTTTTAATATGAATACACAGTATACATACATAAACAGTTTCAAGTGTGTAAATTATAAAAGATAGGAAATCAAGACCTGAAAAGTTAAAACTCTCGTGATTCTATAATTTGGGTATCATCTGAGTGTTACATGTGGTACAGTGGTAGATTAATTTACTATTTGTAATTAAAATGCCTTTACACACTTTCAAGTTTTAGAGCCTTTTGTGTGTGTGTGTGTGTTTACTGTAAGGTTGTTTATATATGATAATTTGTTTTGTTGTAGATAACTTGATATTAGATGATAACTTGATTAGGAAAGGAACCAATTCACTTTTTAATCATGGCTGAAAAAACTGCTGTGTAGTTGACTGCAAATTGCAGTATAGTGTATGACCGGAGAGAGGTTTAGAAGAAGCATCACCAGCTTGGTAGTTAAACATCATTTACTATTGATGATAAATTTGAGCACATACCTTCTTAATTGGTAGAATACTAAGGGTGCTGATCGTGCCCCACAGTTTTTAATGCTCAATAACATCTTACATAAGGGAAAATAGCTAGCAGAGGCTAAGCAACATGTTACCAGCAGGAAGGTAAAGTGGCAAAAGAGAGTGCATACTTAGTTGTAGTACTGTTTATAAGCTTGAAAAATCTCTATTATAATCCTGAATAGCGATTGGGCAAAAGTTTTTGCATTGTGGTTAATGCAGCGAAACCATGATTCAACGTGTTGCAGTATGGAGCCTTGAAGAGAGGATGTTTACAATTAGAATTAAGAATTTAAAAGACCATTTCAGTTAAGTTTGGTAATTAAGTTTAGACTTGCATTTTTTTTTTTTTTTTTTTAATTTTACTATGATCTTTTTATGATATATGTAATGATAGCACAATTTTGGAAGCGCTGACGTAAGAACACTGAGACATAGAAGCATAGCAATATTGTTTAGTATAGATACTTGATCAGTATTAAAGATGAATAAGTTGAGCCGAATTAGTTTCCTTTTTTTTTTTTAATTTAAATTTATATTTATGGTCACAATTCACTTGGCACACCAATTGTGCCTACTTCCAGAACATTAACATTTTTTATACTATGGCGATAGAAGCGAGCATAGTCAAGCATCCACGCAGCAGAGAGGAAGAAGGGAGGGAGTGAAAAGTTTCAGTTCGAGTTAGAAAAAATTTTGGTTTACAATTATTTGATTGGACAAGAGGAATCTACATTATGCATTATGTAGGATCTCATAATTAATTTGAATGATGCAGTTTAGACTTTTAGTGCTATTTTTAAGATAGAGAGTTGAAGTCCTTAAATTAAATAAAAAGAAGTTATAGTCAATTAAATTTAGAATTTTGCTTTCATATATTGTATCTTACACATTCCCCCCTTTCAAAGAGTAAAAGGCGAAGCGATAGAGAAGTGTCACGGTGCACAATGAACTGGAAGTTGATCTGTCAGCACTATCCTTATCTTCAGGGCAGATGTTTTTATTTTTTCGGCTTATAATTCCTATAAATGTAGTATTTCATCTCAATGTTCCCTCTTTGAATGATTTAAATCAAATTCTCATCATTTTTTTAATATCACGTATACACATCAAATAGTTTTCTGGTTGCAATTTCTAATTTCTATGCGTGTATGCTTTACGCATGCGGTGCAAGTTTAATAAAGTAAACAAATAAATAAAAGCTTTTTTTGTAAATTTTGATACCCTTTAGACCATAATTGCACTTTATTTCATAAAATACGGTTTCATATTTTTAATTTTATAATTTCTGCATGCCATCTTACCAGATTTAAATTGATAACGTATAATCCGGTAAAACTGATAATCCAGAATCGGCTAAGTACAGACGAGTCAGAATTAAAGACTTTTGACTGTATTAGAAAAAGTGTAACTTTGAAGGCATTTTAAACCTTCCCCTTCCCCAAAACAAGTAATGCATGTTTTCATCTTATTCGTATATTTATTTTTTTATCAAATAAAAAATATTATGCGCAAGTTAAAATAATGATTGTCTGAATAATTAATTCTTTTATATGTATTAACCAGCATGCTATATAAAATTGTGTAAAATCTGTGGGGATTCAACCTCATCCAATTTTTCCCCATATTAAAAGTTTTTGTGACTGTAAGACCAAGCATAAATGGTCTGAGAAGTAGTTAGCTTACTTATTAAAAGCCTTATTTTTTGCTTAATTATTAATTTAAAAAATTATATGTTTTATTATATTTTATTGTCATTATGTACCTAATCAATTTTTAAACTGAATAATGTATGTAATAGTGCTAGTTAACTAGATCTGAAATAAATATTGGTAACTTTAACTAACCAGTGCAATCACATTTCTATAAGTACTGTGTTATAATTGTTTGTTTATAAAAATATTTTATGTTGCAAAATCAATCATTTTTAATGTTGTGATCTATGTATTAAATGTTGTTGTGGTCTATGTATTCTACTATTAATCATTTTTAATGTTGTATAGTGTGTACTGTTTTGAACTTGTAGTTCTTGCTTCTATGAAATTATTTTCTTTCAATTATATAGCATATTCTTAAAAATTTCAGATTGGATCAGAAGTTTATTTGCTCAGTCATCTTCGTGGCAAGAAACACCAAGAAACAGTGAAAGATCAATACCAAGGACATGATCCTTCTACTGAGGAATTGGTTATTAATTATAGTGATATACTCCTTTAAAATAGTTATTTTAAAATTAGCCCAAAAAGCTTTTTTTTTTTCTTTTTTCTGTGTGTGTGTGTGTGTGTGTGTGTGTGTGTGGATGTGGATTTTAAATAGAACTATTCACTTAAAAGCAATCAGGAATAGGTTGCACTTATTCAGGAGCAAAAAATTTAATTAAAGTTTTATTCAAAATTTATTTACGAATTGATTTTTTATTTTGGAATTATACTCTTTTACATTTCAACAAAAGTAAATTTTCTATTTCAAAGAATTTAGATGGTTTTTAATTAAGTTCAATGAAGATAATTAAAAGTATTTTATAAAATCTGTGTTTTATTTGGTCTGGCAAATCGATCTCCTGTATTTCAGAAGGCAGTTATGAAAAAAGAAAGATATAGAAAAAATACTTTTATTTGTGAACAGCAAATGTTATTTTACTCTATTTCTTTTTTTAAATTATGTCCAGTAAATGACATCCTCCATTGCTGACACATTGACAAAGCCTTTCCCAAAAGTTGTCATAGTTCTTTGTGTTATTTCTGGTGGAATGGCAGCCACTTCTTGGGTGATTGCCTCCTTAAGTGCTTAAAGGGTTGTGGGGCAATGTTTGCACACTTGCACCTTTAAATATTCCCAAAGAAAAAAATCATAAAACGATTAATTGGGGACCCCACCAACAACTCCCAAAGCACCCTTTCTAAATAGGGGAGGTCGATATGCTGGACCTTGTAATAATCAGTAAATCATATTCACATGATTCTGCCTTCAATTTTGCTGTCAAAGGTTTGTTTATAATTCTGGGAATAAATAATTTTTTTTTAATTAATCTTTATTATAATCTTTACAAAACTTTTACTTAATCTAGGAAAACTGCTTATGATAACCACAATAAAAGTATGAAACTGCTAGATAAACCAATAAAATATGATTTAATATATATATATATATCACCATTGGCAAGACTCCCGATTTTCGACCCCGCTCTCCCGCCACCCGAGTACAATATATTTCTCCAACGTTTTCTATTTAATATTTCTCACGATTTTTATGCAAATTGCTTAATACTTTGTTATATGAATAAAAAAAGTGCTTGGATCGTACTGAAGCAATGATTTTCTACATATATCTAAAACAAACCTGCGGAATCAGATAGCTTATGCTTGTGAGTGAGAGCATGATAAGTTCCAGTGTGAAACGTCATTCTCCAGTTCTCCAAGGCTCGAGTCCATGCGTGTCAGGGCATAATAGCAATGGGACAACCAACGCAAGTGTTATTTGGACGTTCTTTGTAGTTATTTCGTTCATTGTGTCCTGAGTTGTGGATACACGTGGCTTAGGAAATAGTTTAAATTATCTTTTTGTTACGTCGCGGAAAGGTGAATGAAAACTCGTTAGTTCAAAACACACAGTTGACTTTCATTCTTTCTCAGGAAATGTAATAAATGCGAGGTACCGCTGTTGTTGGATTTTCGATTTCGTATTGGAAGGGCGATGTTCTTCAACATGTGCGTAACAAAACACAAGGATACATGAATGTTTTGAATAAAACGAAAATTAAAGTTTTCTTAGGAAACAAAGGACCAAAAAAGTTATAATGCAGATGTCTGTTCTCTGCCTTTTTAGGGAGCACAACCTGCTACTGAATGACGATCACGTGCAGCTTTATTTAGAAAATGTCCATAGTAAATCGCCAAGAAATACTCAAAGTGCAAGAATCAAACAGTGCAATTGTTAAAGAAATGGGTTTGAAAAAAATCTTCAGTTTGACTGCATTAAAACAGATCCGGTCGACTTATATGATGGAGCAATAATACCGATTCAAACTGTATCCAATGTTGTTTCTTTTTTGCATCAGAGTTCAGAAATTGAGTGCAGTTGACTTTATGTTCCCACTTTAAGGACAATGACAGGATTTATTATAGCACAGCTAATTATTAAAACTTAAAAGAAATGCAGGCACTCTGGATAATTGCTTAGCACTTGGGCGATAAGCCAACAGTAGTATGCTGGAAGGCTGGTTATGCAGGCATTTAAGAAGGAAAATTCAGATTATGAGGTGCACCTGTCACTCTAAATTAGCAGCTGAAAAAGGGGCAACTCTTACCAATAAATGTGGTGAACACATTGTTGATATTTATTATTTTTGAAAGGAGTTCTAAAAGGAAGAAAAATTAAAACAGTTCCAACAGTGATAAAAGCAGTTTACAATTAGAAAAACTGATGAAGTATAAAATCATCTACGTGACACCCAGCGGAGTTAATTGAAAACTGAAAGGTGCGATGGAATTTTAAATATAGTGAAGTCTAGAATTGGTTGGTCCTCTTGGCAGTTCCATGTAATGAGAGGTGAGAGGTATCAGTGTTGTTGTGAAAACGAGACTAAATTTAGATCTAATATTAGAGATGGAACATTGAAAAACTTTTCTCAGGAAGAGGCTAGTGGCAATGCTGTGAACACAATGATAAAGTTTCTTCTTAGAAAGAAAAATCTGCCACTGTTTATAACATTTGACAAAAAACTGATAAAAGTCTTTTTTTTTTTTTTTTTTTTTTTTTTTACCTGAAACGATGCGTGTAGTAAAAATTTTTTTATGGTAGGTATTTTGTGTGTTTGCATTAAGAATCGACTCTTAAAGTTCATTCATTATAAAAAAACTATATTTTATATTTAAAAGTCTTTTAACATTGTAAAAAATCTCCTGATTTTTGAGTGTCATAGGTTGGCAAGTATGATATATATATATCTGCTTCAGAATAGTTTTGGAAACTGCTAGTTTAAAATGTATTCTTTTTGTAAAATGTGAAAAAATGATACTTATATATTAGTACAGCCACCTTGGCACCAATTTAAGTAATTTTTATGGAAGTTTTTTTTAAAAAAAGACTTATACTTGCTTATAACTATTTGTTACATACATACATATTTCACATTTAATTGGATATTTTCCTCAAAAATATATTAATAAACCTACTTACAAGCACATTTTTATTTGTTTTATCCAGGTAAAATTTTGTGGTGATTAATTTAAGAGTGGATTCAAAGCAGTTGTTCTCATTAGTGATTTTGCAGATAAATTCTATTGCTGCAGAAATTTTCATCAGTTTCTTCCATGAATAGAGTAGTCAAACAAATGCATGTTTTAGAACTGAGTTTAAGATTAAAAAAAAAATACCACAGCCTGTTTTTAAAACCACTGGAACTCTGCACATATTTGCCAGAGTTTGGCATTTGGCAACTTCTGCTAAAATGGTTGTGCTAGTGCATAAGTATCAATGAAAAAACAGAATAACTGTTTCATATTTGAGACTTTTACTATGAGCTATTTTATAAGGTTGTTAGGTATGACAACAGATTTATTTATTATTTTGGCCTGTAGGTATCCTTCATGCATTTGTTAGGCTGCATAAAATATTTGACAATTTATAATATGCATTCATTAATTTCTCTAAGTGTTGGAAACTGTCAAAAATAGGTAGAAAAAAAAGCAGTTGATTGGAAAGTTAGGAAGCAAAAAATTGCATTTAGTGTTGATGGTTAAAAGTGGTCTCATCTTCAGCATGGTAATAAACATTTAATTTTTTAATATATTTTATCTTTAAATATTGTTTCATAAGAATAAATAGTGAAGTTAAATTAAACCCAAATAATTCTCTTGCACCATTGCTGCAAGTTCCTTTTTTCTTTAATAGAAAGAAATTATCCAGAATCATATATTTCCTCCGCCTTTTTTTTAACATACAAACTTGTAGAATCTTTAATCTTTTGATCACATGGCTTCTATTATATTAGGTTGATATCGATTCCTGCTTGGAAATTATTCTTAATCTAAAATAGCAAATATGCAAGCTTTGAAATTCTTGCAAAAGGGAAAAAAAATTTCCCCTTGCATTTAAGCTAATCAACATTCCTCCTAAATTTGTTTTAATGGGTCTTAAACTGTTAATGAGCAATGAGTATATTCATCTTTACATTAGATTAATCATGTTTCCACTTGAAAATGTTGTTTTGTGATTCAAATAAATATTTGCTCAATAGATGAGAAAGAGCTCCTAAATTGGGAACTTTGGGGACTTCTGGGAAGGTCATGAAATCTGATGCCACTTGCTAGATTGTATCTCTTTTCCAAAGTTTATAAAATTGAAATTTCACTGCATTTATTGCTTTTTGATTAGTGAGCAAGTATTTGATCGCTAGATTTTCTCTATAATTTTCCAGATAACTTCTTCACTGTAAAGAAAGCTACTATTATTATCCTATCGGCCGTAAAACTGTTGCTAAGCAGTGTGATTTAGTGCCAGTTGCGGATAACCATGATGTAACGATAAACTCATAACATCTGTGCTTTCATTTGATGTAAACCTGATAGATTCTCAATAAGCCACTTTTGTTCGTATGAAGAAAGATATAAATTAATTGTCATTACTGTATTTTTTCCGTGCTCTTTAAAACGAGACAATTAACATTTGGGACCTGGCTTTTACAGAGAAGGAAACAGTGGATTATTTTCATAGTAGTTATAAGAACTTACAATCAAAAAACGTGTGTATTAATGGAGACTATATAATCAGCAGAATATGGCTGACAAAATAGAAATATATTGAAACATTTACCTGTGGGGAGTGGGTTTGCTATCATTCTAAATAGAGCTTCCAGTAAAATTGGAGAGGCTAGCAAAATAATAGATACCAACAGAAGCCTTTTTAGGAAGGGTATAAATGAAGTGGATCAGATTGTTTATTGAATAAAGACCTGTGAGTTCATCCAAAATTTCACAGAAACAGTTGGTGCAACTTCAGCAGAATCTTCCTCAACTTTCATGGTTTTCATTGTAACCATCATACCCAGTCATTGGGATAATATGTAAGTACTGAAGTTAAGTTGATTTAATGATTACCATGCCTTACTTGTATGGATATTTAAAGGAAAATGCAATGATGCATATTGTGTGATAAAGTTTCTGTTATGTGAAATGCATATCATTTTGAGACTGATAAGACTCCAAACTAAATCCTTAAAAACCAAAAATTGTAAATTTTAAATAATTTAAAATTTTTATTTTTGCTTTTAGGAGTTGTATAATTTAAAACATATTGTTGATGCTTCTACTGATCAACTGGATCCTAATATTGCCCTTGACAAAGAAAGGCAAAAAGCTTTAAAGAAACGTTGCAAAAAGTTAAGGCAAAGAATGTCCATGAGGTAAGCATTTTCAGTGCAATGATATAATATTGGTATTTGTGACCATCATATAAATATTTGTTTACTGTTAAAAGCATTTTTAAAAAATTCTAAATTTTGATTGAAATGTTAAAAAATGTATTTAGTTTTTTTATATATACTTTTTCAGAGGCCAAGAATTTGAATCTCAGCTGCAAAATGTTGACAATTCTGTGAATTCTAATGTGAGAACAAAGTATGTATTTTCTATTGTAATGCAAGTTATCCAGTGTTAAAGTTATATATCAATACATGTTTTGGATTTGATGGTGTTTATATTATTATTTTCTGAATTTTTTATTGTGTTATTTATGTAATATTTTCTGTGATTGCAGGATGTCTAAAGTAATAAGTGATGTTAAAAAGCTGGCTGCTTCTTATGACAAACATTCCAATGACACCAGCTTATTCTCTGCATTAGAACGCTGCTTAACTGAAATGGATATCATATTGCAAAAAATGCTTTATCAAGATAAAGCTAAGTTAAGAGTTATTGGTGGTATATCAGCTATAATTGACATTTTTGGCATTATTTCTAAATTTCCATCAGATAAGATAGCTTTTCTGCATAAAAAGTAAGTTCCCATGCTCCTTTTTCATCAAGTTATTCACATAGACCAGGCATGTACCCCTCGTTTCTAGTTTTCTTTTCAATCTCTCCTTATATGCATAATAGAATATAGAATATGTTCATTATTTTTTAGACATGCTATCCATTTTATCATAAGTAATGGATTGTTGGAGTAGTGTATCTCATTCTTTGTGTATAATCAAAATATGATGATCATGCATCATGATATGATCATGGCTGCATGGGCGTTTTCGTGATTTTCCCCATGTGTAAAGTGTTTACGAGCCAGTTTCCCTTTTGTCCTCCACGAAGGCATCCCTCCCCTTAGGCAGATAGCCCTAGTGTGCTTTGCCGTATTCTCAATACACCAAATACCAATCCCAAAACCTCAGTTCAAATACTATCTAACTAATTTGCATTCTGGTGAGAAAGGAAAAGTTATAGTAAAGACTGAAATTGTAAATAATTGTTTAATTTAAATAATAATAATACATTCAGAATATTTCAAATATTCTTGAAATATTTTGCTAATGAATTTTTCTGCTTACACATTTATTTACTTTTTTTCTTCTTTGTGCAAAAATAATAAAAATATGCATTATTTGCATATTTTTATTATTTTTTGCATTGTTAATACAAAATCGTAAATAAATATTTTTAATATTGGGTTATCTGGAAAGTTCTGCAGTTTTTGGTGATAAATAATGCAAATATAGCAGTATAAAACATTAGAATATTTCATTGAATCACATAAGACAATTTTATTTTATTTATATTTTGCTAGCTTTCCAGCAGCTGGAAATAATAAAAAAAAAAAAAAAATTAAAAAAAAAAGTCGTTAGTTTTATTCATAAAGAAATTATCAAGATGCTGTTCGTCAGTCTCCAAAGAAATGAACTCCATTCAGAAAATTTGAAATTATTTGAAGAGATAAAAATGAAGAGACAACTTAGAATAAATATGGGGGGTTACAAACTGAGCCAATATGTCATTGTCTCAAAGTTTTTATCTGACATTCATTAAAATGTTGGGCAGAGCATTGTTGTGATGATGAAAGATAACACCTCGATTAGTGAATTCTAGCTGCTTTGCTTCAATTTCTACTTTTAGTAGTGCCATTTAGAAACAGTATTTTTTTTATTTATTATCTAATTTGTAGGCAACAATTCACAATATACAATTCCTTTGTAGTCCCACCATAAAACAGTGCTTTTTTGGTATGCAGCTCATCTCAATGTTACTAAAGGAGGCTCTTTTGGCTTACCATAAATTCTTTTTGTTGTAACATTATATAATATCCACTTCTCAGATCAGATAATGAGCTATTTCAAAAAAGGAGTTTTATATTTCTTTTCAGCAAAAAATTGCATTCTAAAACTCAAGCAATATGTGTTAAATAATGGAACTTCTATACATTGTAATGCCTTACATACCCATTTTTTTTTTTTTTTTTTTTTTTTTTTTTTTTCAAATGATCACATACTTTACTTTTTGAAATATTTAGCCTCTCTGTCTGATGGTTACTGAACTGTATAATGTGGGTTTTCAGTGCCATCTCTTAATAGGTCTTTGTTTACAGAGGATGGTTATCCAGAGCAGGCATCATCTTCAAGGCTGAAATTTTTACATTTAAACTTTTGAAACCACATTCAAGCTGTGTTATCAGAAACAGCATTTTATCCACATACAGCATAAATTGTACAAGCAATCTGACTAGCAGTTAAATAAAAGAGTATAATATGACAATAATGAACTTGATTTTTCCATTCTTTTATGTTACTCTGGGAGGGGGGAATTAGCCTCAACATGTGCTAGAATTCATGAGCAGAAAAGACTGTTTCAATCAAGGTTGCTCTTTGTTACCAGTAACAAGATAATTAGAAAAAAGTGTGCTTCAGTTTGAAAAATTATGGAACTTTCCAGATGAACAAATATTTTGAGACTAAAATTTGACATATATTTCTGTAAATATGAGCATAAAAAAATATTAAGCATATAAGCTATAAGCTAAAATTTAAAAAAAAAAAAAAAAAAAAAATTGTCATTTCATTTTCCTCTCAGATGTGAATAAGAAGACGAGCATAAAAATTAAAAGAAAATTCCTTTATTTTATAATGCAGATCTATCTATATTAATTTTGACTTTCTGCCAGAGAATCAAAACTTTCAGTTCATGAAGTTTAAGCCCTAATTGCTAAAATTTGGATGACTGAAAAAAAAATAAGGAGACTAATTTTTAAATTTATTTCAAATTTGTATTATGTGTATTTTATTTATACATTAGCATTTATATCACTGTCTTAAATATTTTCATTTTTTGTAGAATTTAAGAAGCCTTATTTGTATGTTTGCAACAACCTTTTTTGATAAATTGTGCTCAGTTTGATATCTGTGAGTTTAGATCTATTGTGGAACTAAATTTCTGTTCATATCAGTAACAAAAATAGCAAAATTATTTAGAAAGATTTGAAAATAAAATTTAAATAAATAAGAGACATAATTAAATCTAGATTCCCATTGATTAGAAATAGTTATTAGTTTTGGAATATGAATCCGTATATGGTATCTCAAATATAAATCTGTTGATAAAATTAAATAAGATTACTATAAAATTTTCTTTGGGAGAAATAGTTGGAGGAAATCTTTCTAGTCGGTAACCATTTGAGTACATCAATAATACTCTGTTTAATAAGTTAAGAACTTATGGATATTTATTTTCTGTAAACATTTTAGGAACTACTCTGATATGCACTCTCAAGTCGCCAAATTTCTTGCCAAACATTTTTGGCGAGAAACTCCAAGCTGCCATATTGCTATCTAAATTTTTTGTCTACATTTCGAACTTTAAGCCTAAAATGTCTCCAAAAACACGGTTTTCGCAAATGCAAAAACCACGTTTTGGACACGCAATTTAAGCTAAAAATCCGAAACAAAAACAAAAAATTTACATAGCAAAACCGTAAAGTTTCTAACCAAATTTATTTGACAAAGTCCATGTAGCAATATGTTTTTAACTTAAAAAACATCTACGATGGCACAATCTAGGCAACGAACAATCTACAAACTACGCACACCTCACTTTAATAAATTAACATAACAATAAATTTCAAAGAATACCATGTACAATAACATTCTACAAAATAAGAACAAGAATAAAATAAAATACACTTACCATGAATTAATGCTTTTTTGAACAGCAGAAATACCAATTTCATACCGCCTTTAACATGCTGCCATGTAATCACTAACGTATTTATATGACAGCCAGACACACTATCCAGAAAATTCATACAATGGTTCACAAATAAATAAAATAACAAATAATCAAATCCCTACTTCTATCACACATCCACAAAAGTAATCTTCCAGACCCTCTTTCCACACCTCCAAATACCCACTGCCCCTCAACAGTATGGCCACGACGATATTTCCTTTTGCCGAACTGCAACAACTTCCACCATTTTATCTTTCCTCCCTAGCTTCTCAGACACAGAGCATGATGCGAACCAACGAACTCCAGTGAAAGATTTTTCAACGTCAACAGGGTTGCCATACAACACGCAATCACGCCAAAAACCAGCGCAGAACACATATCGCCACATTTCGTGAAATGAGTTGTGTTATCTAAACATATCTTGTTTCGGCAACAAGAAAAGAAAATTCTGAACTTGGATTTGAAAACCAAATGTATGAGAAATTTCTATTGTATGACAAAAATCCATTTTGGCAAGATTTACGTAAAATCCATTCTTAGTGCAGGTTTATATGTGGAATGAGTAACCATGCAAAATTTCAAGTCAATCGGGTGTATAGTTTCGGAGATCTCGTGATGAGTCAGTAGTATTTTGCTTATATATGTATAGATTAAGCCAATTTTAAACATTTATGCAGTTTTTCTTTAGAAACTGCTGTTTCTTAACGAAAGATAAAAATTCCCTATTTTCTACTCTTATATGTGCATATATAAAGAGAAAAAAATATATAGAGCTAACATCAAGCTAGAGCGCTGTGCTATCTAATATGACCGCGCAAATTAAAAACGATTGAAATAAATGAAGCAATGAATCGCAATAATGATAATAATAATAAATTAAAAAGTCCTAAAATCAATTAATATATTTTTTAATTTACTCTAGATAGACTTTAAAACATGGTTTTATTAATAAATCTTTTAGTTGTACCTTGACAAACACCAAGGAATAGTAAAAAATTATTTGGAAACTATTATTTAATATTTTATTATTACTGTCTTAGTAGCCCAAAAGGAAACACGATTTTCTGTCAGATCACTATAAATGAGCGTCGCATTCGAGTCTGTTGCTATTTGCAAATTTAAGATATTTATCTTTCAATTGAATCTGTCTTTGGATAACAAGTTAAGCTATTGAAACCATAGATGCAGTTCTTAAAGAATATTCGGTTCTTACTTTTGAATCGGATTGATTTAAATAATAAAATGCATTTAATTTCATCATCATCTAATTAAAATATTCAATTTTTTCGTGACGTAATGCGAAGAGCGTGATATTTAATAAATAAAGTTAAAACAAAATTTTAATAATAAACACACAAAAAAAAAAATTATAAGCATCTTACTAAGAAAACGAACTTTGATATGATGAACTGAGAAAAGACCGAAAAGAAAATAGAAAAATTATGCCAACATTTTAACACTGCATCGGAATTCCAACATGCGCTATGCTGCTTTTAAAATTTTATGATTTTACTATTGAATTGAAACATGGCGTAAATGCGAAGAAAACAATACTTAATAATAAGCCCACAAAAAAAAAAAAAAAAAAAAACTGATGTGTACACCACATGACTTCCTTGTACGGAATATTAAATTATACGCATTTTTTCTAGCATTTCGTTTAAACTTATTGGATTGAATTAAATCTACTTTGCAGACAGCGCATAAACCACAATAGAATAAATGCATTCTTTAAAATTCACTCTATTTATTTACCATAGCGACACACTGGAAGATATGTTAGAAATGAGTTGTACCACATTTTAAAGTCTTTTCAGTATTAATAACATAATGCTATATAAGAGATTATTACATGTTTATTTAATGTATATATGATTTTTGGAGCATAACTGAACTTTTTTTTTTTTTTTTTTTTTTTAACTTAGAAAAACCAACTTGAAAAATTGGTGCAAGTTTTGTAGTCTTGAGATTAGTGTACTTTTGCTGTCTTGTTACCATATTTCTAAATATTCTTTTACAGTAAAATATAGGTTTTTCCATAGAAATCTGATAGTTTTGGGATTAAAACCAGTACCATAAAAAGTAACTCAAATACACTGATGGGACAAATTAAAGGAACAAATATAAAAAACTTAATGATTTTTGCAGCTAAGTACATAGGAACTTGTATAAGGTCTTTATTTCGTCATGCCTGGCATATCTTCAAAATGCAGAATTGTCTATTTCTGAAAAATAAATAAATAAGGACATAAGAAGGATATAAAATGTGGTAAACAAAATTTGGTATTACAAAATTTTAGTGATATGTAAAAAATATTTAAGCATATAATTACATCTGACTGAAGCATAAAAACTTGACTTGTTTATCTGCATACATCAGCAGTGTCTTAAACCATTTCCAGATTCTTGATGTGACACTTTTTTTTTTTTACTTTGAAGTTCATGTAGACCTGTGTCAGTATCCGTCCCGTTTCCATGTTGCTCCTCTCAATAAGTCAGACACCTTATCAATGACATATTCTACCTTTCATATACATAAAGTTTACCCATCCCTTCAAACAATCTTTGAAATTAGAATTTGAAACACCCCTTTCTCTTCTTTACGTACATGCCGAAAGAATGGGTGCAAAAGTTTTGCATATTTCAGTGTATTGAAGGTGAATCCCAATATTATTTTGATTGACCAACAGCCTTTCCTTAGACTTCATTTAATAGAAATAACAAATTAACATAAGCCCCCTTTTTGGGGGGAGTAGTTGTTCCTTGAATTTTTCCCACCTGCATGTTATGAATATAAACTATAAATGTTTAAAAAAACATGTTTCTAATTTAATGTCAACTTTCTGAAAACTTTTAGAGATTTGATTTTATACTCAAATTTGTTTTATGTTAAATATTAGATTGTTTAATAATAATGATGCATAGTACATACTTCTGTTTTATTCTTAAAGTTAAAAATTTAAGAGCTTAATCAGCAAACAGAACTGAATAAATGAAGCAATTATCTATGCAACTGCTTTTCTCTATCGTGTAAATAGAGAAAAGCAGTTGCATAGATAATTGCTTCAATTTATTCAGTTCTGTTTGCTGATTAAGCTCTTAAATTTTTTCATTGATAGCACTTAAAGATCCTTAAAAGTCTTTAATTCCCATTTAAAGAAATGTAAAAGAACATGTAATAAGATATGTAGTGCCATTTATTTTGTGCCATTTCACTCTTCAGCCTCGTATATTCAACAACATATTTTTCAAAATTCTCTGCAATTTATGCAACACTTTTTCAGCCTATTGTTAAATTTTTGTATAATTCTTAGCATCATTTTGATTAGTATAACTGAAGTTGTTTGCTGTAGTGCTACCCTGAATTTGTTAATGTTCCTAGTAGTTTATTTCCTAATAGATTTATTTCGCTTGAAACATCAGTAAATCCCAGAAAAAATAAGCTCAACTGTAAATTTATATAACTACAAAAGTTGTCATATTCTGCAGATAATATTTGAAAAATGTATTGTTAAAAAGATAATAGGCTGAGTACAAATATCACATTACACGTATAAGTAATTATTTGAATTTGACTCATGGTTTTGATTTCATGGTTTCCGTTTTCATTCTCATCAGAATTTCTTGATTCTTTCTTTCTCTCTCTCTTTTTTTTTTCCCCTTAAGTATTTCATACATTTGGGTGTTGTTTTACTGTTAAAAAAATATGCATACATTTGACTAAAAATTTCTTTTTAAATATGTATTTTCCAATTTGATTTATAATATAGCTGCATTTTTTTATTTAATGTATTTAGGATCATCAATCATGTCAGTAGTACAGCTGGAAATGCTATTGATAACTGTTATGAAAATTCTGTGTATATATTGCATAGCAATAAAATTGGCCATCTTTTAGATTTTCTCATTAGCAGGCTTAATGTAAGTATTAATTTAAAATTTGAATTTTAAACTAATTTGTGGTCTATTCAACTGAATATATCCATAGATATGATATCATGCTATTTTGTAATAGCTATTAAAAGTATTTACTGTTATCATTTGAATTTTGGTTTGTTTAAAATTATGGGTATCTTTTTAATTTATATATTTCATTCTTAAAATGTAAGATTTCAAACAGTATGATAATGTTTAACATGTAACTGAGCAGGATATTAATTAATTTCATTAGATTATCTTCAATAATTAATGTTTTTTTCTGGGAAGATTTCTAGATGAAAACACAGATTTTATTTTTATTTTATTTTATTTTATTTATTTTTTTCAATAGAAAACATTTTCATTTAATATACAGGGTGTTTTTAAAATCCCGTACCCATTTTGATGTTTAATAACTCATAAAATAATAAAGATAGAATTAGAATTAATAACATAAATGGTTAGGTAGACTCAAAAAGTTTCATGGCCTTTGTCAATGAACTTCCACGTGTGCCCCCTTCGTCGCAAACTGGAGAATATCAAGTCTATATTCAATTTCACGCCAGGTACCAGCAAACATGTCGGCATCCACAGAGGCTATTGCGGTTGTAATTATGGCTTTAAGGTCATCAACGTTCGACACTCTCTTCCTGTAAACGTTGTACCTTTACAAATCCCCAAGGGATAAAGTCCAAACGGATATATCAGGTTGCAATAGGTTGCCAAAAACAAAAGAGAGGAAATTGCAATTAATCAAGCAGATCGATATTCCTAGAAAAATACAGATATTCAATAGACTACGGAAAGTGAAAGTTTCATTCATGAAATTAACCAATGACGCGCAGCACGATATGTTACAAAAGACATGTGGCTGAAGCTCTTCTAGTTGTGGAAATACGAAGTTTTCCAACATGTATACGACTGATGAGACCGTCTTTTCTGTAAAAAAGAAAAGCCCAATGGCTCGGCCGTGCATTAGTCCACACCACACATTAACCTTTGGGGAATCCCTTTGTGCCTCACGGTATTAATGGGGGTTTTCAGATCCCCATATAGAAAAAGAGAGAAAATTCCCAGAGAGAAAAATGCAATTAATAAGCAGATGATATTTAGAAAAGTACAGATATTTAGACTGGAAAATGAAATTATCTGAAATTAACCATATGCGCAGATGATATTTAAAAAAGTGAAGATATTTAGACCTGAAAAGGAAAATATATAAGTTATTCCATCAATAAATGCCATAAGTTTGTTTATATCTTCATCATTTTATGAGTTATTAAACATCAAAATGGGTCCAGGACTTTATAAACACTCTGTATTATTTGATTATGATTCTTAGGAAAACACTAAGCATCAAGTTAAAGTCTTGAAAAGATATCTCACTGTTAAGGTGGAATTTGGAAAAAAAAGAGAGAGAAATTTTAGAAATTTATATGTATGTCCAATGCAAAACATTGCTTATTGAAAAGAAGACAGGATTAATTATTTTTCCCCACTGATTAAATGTATACTTAGATATTTGTTTCAGTCACTTCTTAAACTGACATTTTTGGAACTGCTCATTCTTTACATATATCTTTTAAAGTAATCACTCTAGGAGATGCTAATCTTCTTCACTTATTGTAATTTCATCAATACTTTTCATCATGGTTTTGCCTGATTCCACATTTGAAATCCCTTATTTTTTTAAATCAATTTTTATGTATTCCTGATTTTATTTGAATCCAAGTCGAAGGAAAAATTAATCTTTCTGTCAGTATTTTCTGCAGTTAAAGTTCTGAATTAATCTCTTTGTGCAAAATACCTTTAAACTCTTCATTATGTTTAGGTCTAAAAATTGTAGCATCCTTGTACAGTTTGACAGGGAAAATGAAAGACAGTTGTAGTTGAGAGTAATGCATTTATCCATAAAAGGCAGTATTTTAATTTTATTTTCATCACTTTGCCTGTTTGAGCCATCCATTAAAAATCTCTGTGATCGTCCATACTTTTTTATTCACTTCATATCATATTTACAACATTTTAACAATGCTCAGGATGGTAACCATAGCATCAGTATTTACATAGAGTAAAAAAGATGGCAATATCTACTTTTCTTGGCTTCTTCTGAAGTGAAAGAAGAGATCAGTTTCATAATTGATAAAAATGTCTTTCTGCTGATATTCATCCATTTTGTAAAATAATGTTTTTTAGCAATCTTCAAAAAACTCGGGTGAGAAATCTTCGACTTCTCTACTCATAGCATAATATCAGACTCCATTGTTTAATTTAAATTTGAGAAATCAAACAGTTGAAAAAACAGACTTTGTTCATATTCATCTGCAATGCTATTTCTTTTACCTTCCATAGTAGTATAGATCTGTCAGTGGTGTATCCAAAAATAATTTTTTGGGGGGTGCATATAGTCATTGTCATGAAAGAAGCAATTTCATTAATTTAGAATTACCACTAAAGAATATGTTTTATTAGTCTTATTTCATCTATTTAATATTGTTCAAGGATTAATATAATTTTTGTGAAGTTATAAAAATTTACAAAAATAAAGAACATTTAAGAAAAATTAAGGTACCATAAGAGCAAAGGGAATCCAATATCATCATTGAAAAACTGATAATAATCATTTAACAATTGAAAACCGGTCACAGTTTAAAAAATAGTTAATAATGGCAGTTCTAAATTTTCTTCTTAAATAAAATTGAGTGATGTGGTTGAACATGGCAGATTTTACGACAAACTAAGATGGAAGACCAAATTGTGCATTTTCCCCGTAATTTACAGTTTTATTTTTGTAAAGAGAAGAGGAGAAAAGCATCAAGCTTGCAGAAAATGGCATAAATATAATGGTGGTAAAGCTCTACAAAAACATCAGTGCCAGCAGCAAGTGCAAAAATATCAGTGTTCATAAAATTATCTTGATGATCCTTGATCATTGACAGGACAAGAGATGGATAAAACAATAAAATTTCACCGGTTTTGATGGACAGCATTCCACAGAACAGAACTGAGGACTTCTCCCAGAATTTTAATTGCCCCCATACCACAGAAATACTCTACACTTACAAACATCTATGCTTACTCAAGTCTTTAAACTTAGGCCCACTGTTATAATAGCCAGCATCGCTAACCACTATACCAATCAGAGTGCCCAACTAAGGTTGATAATAACAAAATATAGATAATAACAAATGTTCATCAAATCCTAAGGTATACAACTTGAGAGATGGCAGAAACATTGCACAGTGTGCAAAAAAAAGAGGGGGGTCAGTTCTATATCTCCTGTTCTACTGGGCCGAATGACGAAATTCAAATTGCGTTTTTCATGTCTGGAAAGCACAACTTTGGATACATATTAGATTTATATGTATAACATCATTCTAATATAGGTATTTTGACACTAAATTGTACTTTCTCTGAAATGACATGCCAATTTTTTTTTCCATATTTCGATTCTATGACTCAAATTATGATGCCAAACTGCCACGTTTTTTAAAAATTGTGCAAGTAGTTTTAAAAAATTAGCTCACAAAGTTTTAGCTCCTTGGTGTTAATTGAATTTGATATATATATATTAATATGTCTTTTTTATTAAACTTACTCCATTCCTTCATACAGAATTTGAAAGTTAGGTAATAAGCATTCTGTATTATTTGATTATGATTCTTAGAAAAACACTAAGCATCAAGTTAGTCTTGAAAAGATATCTCACTGTTAAGGTGGAATTTGGAAAAAAAAAGAGAGAGAGAGAGAAATTT